CTCTCATAATCATATGGTGGTTTTGGTACTTTAAAGCCCCCATATCAATCAATCAAGGAGGAAGAGACAGGGGCGAGACGACAGGTTTTGCGGCGCTATAATGCGTCAGCTGTCGTGAAAAACACCCTCGCACTGCCTTCCGCAACGTCCCGGATAGCGAGGCAGTCGCGCTATACGCTCCATCTGCGTCGTTTGGTGCGAAATGTGCAGTAGGAAATTGTACGCGCCACCTGCGCTACCTACAGCGTTTTCTTCTTAGTGTAAACCGTGCATTTATATACAAAACAATCTCAGCCAGTTCTTTTCGAACACTGAGCGACGAAAGTGGCGGCTACGAAACATGATGCCTGAGCAGAGGCTCAACGCCACCGACACCAGAATTCAGAGGTGCGCGCTTCCTAAGAATTTGCCTCAACTTATCGCGAAATAAAGCACCCAAACAGCTGCAAAATGAATTGGCGTCAGAAAATATTGTAATCATTGGCGAACATTTTTGTGTGTGTGTGTGTGTGTGTGTGTGTGTGTGCGTGTGCGTGCGTGTGTGTGTGTACACACACTGCTTTGCTGCATAAAGCAGTGTTTCGCTGTTAAACAGCCAAGTTCAAGGTGAAGCTTTGCTACGTTGACAGAAAATAGGTTAAATAAAATAAAATAAAAGGCATTGATGGTGAGTGAGTGACTGTAGGTGTGTGTGCACGCGCATACACGCACACACTTGCTCGCATATAATGACTTTTTATTTTATTTAACCTACTTGCCATCAGCGTAGCAATGCTTCACCTTGAATTTGTCTATTTAACAGAAAAGCCCACTTTACGCAGCAAAACAGCATGTGTGTATGTGTGTGCTTGTGTCACACTCACAAGCAGTCTTTTAGGGGCGAAGCTCCTTAGGGCATGGGCTGTGCGTCCCCTGTATCTAGCCACCTCTAGTTTAGTTCTTGCAGTGTTCACTAGATGGCGGTACCGTCCCCTGTTAAAAGCAGTAGAAAAAAGCTTAAAGGACGGGCAAATACCGGACAGTTGGTGACAAAGTAGAAATAACTTAATCTATAAAGGCAAGGGAGAAAAGGACAAGATTCGCTCGTATAGACCACTAACCATTACATCGGTACTATACAGGTTGGCGATGCAAGCAGTAAAAATGAAAATAGAAACATGGGCCGAACATAACGATATTTTGGGAGAACTTCAGAACGGATTTCGAGTCGACAGGCGGTTAGACGATAACCTGTTTGTTCTCACTCAGTGTATAGAAATATCTAAAATAGAGAATAGGCCCTTGTACGTGGCTTTTCTAGACATCACTGGAGCATACGACAACGTTAATCAGGAAATTTTGTGGGATATATTGAAAGGAATGGGCATGGGCGACGATTGTATACAGCTTTTGAGGGAGATATACCGAGAAAATACAGTTTGCATAGAGTGAAAAGGAATGCGTAGCAAAGAGAACGTTGAGGTTAGCAGAGGTCTGAGACAGGGATGTCCTTTGTCCCCGCTGTTATTCATGCTGTACATGGTGAGTAACCTGCGCTTCGCCGATGACATTGCATTGCTGAGTAACTCGGGGGACGAATTGCAACTCATGATTACGGAGTTAGACAAGGAGAGCAGAAAGGTGGGTCTTAAAATTAATCTGCAGAAAACGAAAGTAATGTACAACAACCTCGGCAAGAAGCAGCGCTTCGAGATAGGTAATAGTGCACTTGAAGTTGTAAAAGACTATGTCTACTTAGGGCAGGTAATAACCGCAGAGCCGAATCACGAGATTGAAGTAACTAGAAGAATAAGAATGGGGTGGAGCACATTCGGCAAGCACTCCCAAATTATGACAGGTAGGTTGCCACTATCCCTCAAGAGGAAGGTATATAACAGCTGTATCTTGCCGGTACTTAGCTACGGAGCAGAAACCTGGAGACTTACAAAGAGGGTTCAGCTTAAATTGAGGACGACGCAGCGAGCAATGGAAAGAAAAATGGTAGGTGTAACCTTAAGAGACAAGAAGAGAGCAGAGTGGATTAGGGAACAAACGGGGGTTAAGGATATCATAGCTGAAATCAAGAAGAAGAAATGGACATGGGCAGGGCATGTAGCGCGTAGACAGGATAACCGCTGGTCATTAAGGGTAACTGACTTGATTCCGAGAGAAGGGAAGCGGGTTAGGGGGAGACAGAAGGTTAGGTGGGCAGATGAGATTAAGAAGTTTGCGGGTATAAATTGGCAGCAGCAAGCACAGGACCGGGTTAACTGGCGGAACATGGGAGAGGCCTTTGTCCTGCAGTGGACGTAGTCAGGCTGATGATGACATGGTGAGTATGGAAAAAGCGCTAGAAGGTAGCAACATTGGTTTTAATCTGTCACACAAACAGGGCGGCATGATGATTGAGCAGAAGCTTCCAGGTTTATTTTATGCGGACGATATCGTCTTATTTGCGGACAGTCGAGATGATATACAGCAGCTGGCGAATATATGCGGAAGGGAAGGTGAAGCTCTTGGACTAGGATTCAGTGTAACGAAGTGTGGATTGATGGTATTCAATGATCCCTGTGATCAGACGGTGTCCATACAAGGCCAAGAAATACCGAAGGTAAGTGAATACAAGTACCTTGGAGTATGGGTAAATGAGAGTGATAGATACATGGAGGTACAGGAAAAAGCCTCGGCAGCAAAAGGAAAGAGGAATGCGGCAATAATGAAGCACAGAGCGTTGTGGGGATACAATAGGTATGAGGTGCTTCGAGGTCTGTGGAAGGGTGTAATGGTTCCAGGGCTTACTTTTGGGAACTCAGTGGTGTGCATGAGGGCAGAGGTGCAATCGGGAATGGATGTAAATCAAAGGACTGTGGGACGCCTCGCGTTGGGTGCTCACGGGAAGACGACAAACGAGGCTGTAAAGGGCGATATGGGGTGGGCAGGTTTTGAGGCGAGGGAAGCGCAGAGCAAAATAAGGTTCGAAGAAAGGCTAAGAAATATGAAGGAGAGTAGATGGGCAGAGAAGGTGTTCCGTTATTTGTATAGGAAGAGCGTGGACACACAGTGGAGAAAAAGAACTAGAAGACTCACTAGTAAATATACGGCTGGTATTGTGAGCCATATGTCAACAAAGAGCGTTAAGGGAAAAGTCAGGGAGGCGGAGAGGATTTACTGGATGGCAGCTATGGAGAAAAAACCGGCTTTGAGTAACTACCGAAAGGGCAAAAATGAAATAAGGAGGGAGGCATATTACGATAATTCAAGGGGAAGCGCTTTACTGTTTGAAGCGAGATCGGGTTGCCTTAGAACGCGTAGTTATAAAGCAAGATTCAGTAAAGAAGAAGAACAATGCACATGCTGCGGGAAAGATAAGGAAACGGCGGAGCATGTTCTGATTGAATGTGGAGATATCCACCCAGGTGTACATTTGGGCACGAGCCTACAGGAAGCCTTGGGTTTTAGGGACAACAATGGAAAGCTGAACACACCCGCGATTGAAATAAGTAAGAGACGGTTAGAGTATTGGTGGCAGAAAATTAGAGAGAAAGGACAAAAATAAATATTGGAAAAATAAAATATGGACAGTGTGCCGTAAATGGCAGAGAACTTAAGCTGAAAATTTACCTTTTTTTCCATTAAGATAGAATTTATCGAAGTAGAGGCATTAGGCCAACATAAAAAAAAGGGGTTTTTTTTTTTTTTTTTGGTCGAGCCTGGTGGCATACTTGTCCCCACCCCGTTATAAAGGGGACGCTCATAGCATCCATCCATCCATCCATCCATGTAGACACCTCTAGTTTAGTTCTTGCAGTGTTCACTAGATGGCGGTACCGTCTCCTGTATGTAGCCACCTCTCGTTTAGTTCTTGTAGTGTTTACTAGATGGTGGTACTTGTAGCTGATGATGAAAAGATGCAAGATGTTATAAACTAGAAAGCGGTACTTGTAGTTGATGAAAGACGCGAGATCTTATAAAATAGGAATGATGTCACATATGGCGCGTGTCATTGGTTGAAAGCAATCGTTCGATTTAGTGCGGCGACGTACGCTAGGGGGAGCGATGTAATAAAATCGAGTGGGCAAAATGTACAGAGGATTCATGGTTTACCAGGTTTACCTCCGGAGCTTCGCCCACTCATCATCATTCACTTCGTGGATATGGCGGCACTTTTTTTTATATTATTTTTTCTACTTTCTGTCAGCATCGCAAAGCGTCACTTAGAGCTTTTCCAACGGCCAAGCACGCTTTACACAGCAAGGCAGAGTGTGTACACACACACACACACACACACTCACACAGACACATTCACAATCAGTCTTTTCATATTATTTAACCTGCTTTCCATCAACGTCGCAAAGATTCACCTTGAACTTGTGCAACACCAAAGCACGCTTTACACAGCAAAGCAAAGTGTGTGAATGTGAACCCACACACACACACACACACACACAATCAATGAATCTTAATTTTTTTTAAGCTACTTGCCGTCAACGTAGCAAAGATTCACCTTGAACTTGTCTGTTTAACAGCAAAGCACGCTTTGTGCAGAGAAGCATACAGACTTAGAAGTGCCTTAACAACGCATGAAGCATCTCTTCCTTGATTCACTGAACATTTGCTACGAAATTGGCCTTACTCAATTGTAAACTAACATGTAAAGTTGCATCAGGACAAATTCATGTCTGAAAAGCCATGGCCAAGTTCATAACTGTCATAGACAGACTAAAATTACTGCAAAATATTTTTGGTCAGGAGAATGAAAGAACGATGCGTTTTCAGGTGTAACCATCAGCGTCGCAAAGCGTCACCTAGATCTTGTCCAACAGCAAAGCAGGCTTTACGCAGCAATGCAGAGTGTGTGTGTGTACACACACCCCCACACACATTCACAAAACAGCACCATTCAAAACATTGACAAATGTGGGCTGTTAGGGAACCCTAAATATTTTCTTAATTTTATACAGGCCTGGTTATACTGCTCTCTTACATTCTTTTTCTTAGCCTTTCGTAACCATCACAAGTCATTTATTGGTTTTTGAATGACAAGTTTATTGTCACCAGTAGAAAAAAAAAAGAAGCAACAAAAATCAACGATGCATGAGTAGCGCCAAGTTAGACACGCTGCAGTTCTACTCAAAAGAGATTGCACTGTTCCTTTTGGCAGAATAACAACCGACCTCGCCGCACATGGACCAATCCGCATTTCAGTATTCAATATCACGCTCACAACAATCTTTTCTTTTGCGCAGTCAATAAATGACAACACTGGACGGCCAAAGTTCCATAATCATCGATTTTCATCCCAAGCGAAAAATTGCCCACGTTCCCTACAAGCGAGAACATACTGCGGATGCGCATAAAAAATTGTTGCTATCAAAGATGCTAAAAATTCTAGCTATTATACGAGGGCACAAATGGTGGGCACGCCACATGCTTCCAATAAGTCATCTTGATAAAAAAGACATTTACATACTTGGCACTTTTCAGACACTGTACTGAATGTAGTCTGTGATAAATGCTGAAGAGCTTACAAATGTTTAGGCATTTCATAAGCCGCCCAGGTAGGATAAGGCCTAAGCACGTGCATGCTTTCTTGTGACGCGAACTCCAAGTTGGAACACACTAGGATATCTAACTCAAGTTCATAGATAATTAACTGCATAACGAAATATGAATTTCTCACTTTTCTTACAGCTGTGATAGATATTTTTGAGTTGACATTAGGACACGATACTGCTATTCTTATAAATGCACAAGTTATTTTGTGGATGTTCCTTATAATGCTTTTACAATCATTAGCCCCAGTTTCTGCATCAAACTCTCGAAGAACTGATATAACAGCATGAATAAAGCATTGATAACAAACAAATAAAGCTGACATGAATACCAGTATAATAAACAAATTGCAGTGCGGTTATGGGAAGGACAAGCGGACTGTCCTGACAGAAACTTGAACTTCCCTTTTTCGCACAACACCCATCCTTGCGCTATGGATAATGCAAATGCCATCTAAATCATTCAGATAACAAAAAATACTGCAAATCACTGTACACTCTAACACTATGTATACCAACCAAATCATGCATAAACACATGTTTGGCAAAGTACATCCTTACATGATTTGATATGAGTTCATCTAGATCATGCAAGTATCTTCTTTCTGTTTACGACATGCACACTGGTCAGATGCGAACCAAAAGCTAACGAAAATGAAAGAAGCGAATGCATTATTGTGCTACCTATGCAATAGCTTCAATCGTCTGTCAAGATGTAGCACAGTAGTTAGCCCACAATGGTTGATTGCACTTTTGCGATAAAGTGCATATTTTCACCAAAACAAATTAAGTAGCAGTACTGTATCAAGTTTCAAAAAGCAAGCAGCTCTGCAAATAAAGGCCCCATATTTGGCGTTTCTCATGTGTTTCTGTGAAAACTGAAAATTTATGCATTTCTGTGCTCACAGAAAGCAAGCAATCACAGCAAGCAAGATCTTCACAACAGTATGTCGTAACAATATAAACTGTCCATGTGAAAGCTTACAAGTGTTCAATAAACACTGTTATCTATGCAAATGTACTCCATGTGTTAGGAAAGAAGCATCCCATTTGGCCTGAGGTTTTAAACTACATGAGCGAAAACACTTTGTTTCAATTGGCTTGTGTTATGAGGTGTAGCTTGATGATCACTATTAAAACTATTAGATTAGTAGCATTTGCAGTACATAATAGCTTTATGTACAAATTTGCACACTTTCTAGCATCATAGTAACAACAACCTGTACTGTGTCAAACTGAAAGAGAAGCAATTAATTTATAGAAAAAAGTATTATTAAAAACATTTGATTTTTGAGCTACAGAAAGCAAGTACTTCAAGAAGCCCGGGCTGATCTAATATTGATACAGCCCCGCCTCAAAGGACAATCTTTTTAGCTAAGTCTATAGAAGCAGTGAGTGAAAGAGCTCTTCGAGATTACACAATAGGACCAAAAATAAAGGTCTGAAATATAGTCACAGACTATCACAAACATAACCACATACAACAACTTGCAATCAGTTACTTTCACGAAACATTGAGCAAGTGTAGAAAGCAGTTCTGAGAAGCAACCTCTAAAAACAATCAGCTAACTGCGCACCACATTGTAGCAGTCATACTGGTGCACTGTGTTGTATGCAATTTGCTCTTGCAAACAGTGGTAGTCTACATTAAGGTAATTTGTTCTTTACGCTGGAATGTTTCTGGTAAAGGTATGACCTTATGTTTACCATAACATTCACCAACAGTCCCTCCTCACAAGTTCACTTTTTGATTTGTTCTTGCTGCAAAAGTCAGTCAAAAATTTTTGTACAGCCACTACATGTAGAACAAAAACGTAGTTATAACATAGTCGACATTGTCACACAAGCATACTCAGGTTAAAAAAAAAAACGTGTCGCATCTTTGCCACGAATAAAAAAAGAAGTATATAAGCACCAACGAGAAATGTTTGAAACCGACACTGCGGAAACTGCTGCCGTCATGATCTTCTCCAAGCACATATATTATGTACAAAGAAATACGTCGCACACATTGCATGCCTAAACAAGAAACAAAACGAAGAAAGAAGTGAAGTACAACTATAGGCACTAGCGAGAAATGTTCGAACTTGATGCCGCGGAAACAGCGGCTGCCACCCTGGCGTCATCATGCCTGCCTACCATCGGCGACACCGGTGACACCGGCGATGCGGCAACCGCTACCTTGACGAGCGGCGACGTCCCCAGCACAATGTCCGCTGCGTCACCCCTTCCCAACTCGTCGAGGGCGTGCGCGAGGTGCCCTATGGTACTGTCCATCACCAGAGTCCACTCTCCAAGCACCCTTGCGATGGGGCTCTTGCCAGAGGTCGCCAGCACGCCGGACTCTTTGGACTCAGGGTCCAGCTCGGGAAGGCGCTCGGTCATGCCGAGTTGCACCGCTAGGAGGCACCAGTCCCGTCCCAGCTTTTCGGGCGGATCGAGCGCGGCGCCCAGCCTCTGGCGCGTCAGCAGAGAAAGTTGCGACGCATGCGTGTCCGGACCGCAGACAAGTGACGCGGCTGAAGCCACGTCACGACAGCAGAGCAGGTCACACGCAGATTCAGGCATGCCGGTCTGAGGATGCAGAACTTGGGCGTGCAAGCCACCGTCATTGAGCATGGCGCGCATGACAAGGCGAGCCGCATAGCGAGCCGGTGTCTGAGCGAGGTGCCGCAAGTCGGCGGCGCTCAGTAGGTGTCGCTCGAATTGCGCACCGGGGCACACTTCACCCAGCACATCGTCGACCACCATCAGCAGGTCCTCCAGGAAGTAGAAACTGTTTGGCCAAGAAACACGCGGTGTCATACAGCTCTTGCTTTATACCACCCATAATATGTGCACATAATTATCAAACCCTCTGGTTTCGTTCATCTGATTAATAGTGCACTGCTTCAATTGCAGTCAATAAAGAAACGTATCCTACTTCTGTGCTACCTTCAGTATGACAGCTGTAGTTTGTAACAATTAGGATCTATTTTCTTCACCTTCATTTTCAAGAGCCAGAGGATGCATCTTTCAGTCAGCAGTGCTTTAACTGTCATAAATTAGTCAATATCAAAACCATCATGCACGATAATTACCACGCCCTGAAGGACATGCCCATGCAGACGACCCTACAAAAGCCTTTCGAGAGAGAATAGACCCAGGTGGTTTGCTTCACTGTGCGATGGTTAGTACTTCTCTCCACCATTAGTATGCTTTAACGTAATACTTGTTATGTTGCGGTAAAACATACTAAAGCAGATGTGACAATATGGAGCCCACATAAAATCCTTCCTAAGTGAGCCATTCATCTTTTGAGACATGTTGTCCTGCTCGTTTTTCTTCCATATACTCACTACCCTTCAGGTTTAATGTCCTGTTGATAACACTTGTCAGTACAGTGCCGCTTCATCGGTACCCACATTTGTGATGACGCAAGAAGTTATAGTACACTCCAACTTTAAGAGGCAATTTCGGAGAAGTACAGTGAGGCCCATCAACATATTACATATTGGACGCAGATGGTATACAATGTGTCTCAGCCAACTCTAGACTGAGTTTTAAACTATGCCAACATACTGTATGATGATGCAACTAAATGCGTATTGCTGACTATTTTATGGAGAGAGCAATTGAGCTACGCAAAAGCATTTGATATGAAGAGTGTAGATAAGTTTGAAAAACATCCGGTTTGAGAGTTTCCAGCTTTTTACATATTTATCAAGTACTATCATTTTTATCCTTACTACAGGTGCTTCTGAAAGAAAAAAAAATGCCATGAGACTTGTCCTTTTTGCATGCCTATGTGCACTATATTGTAGCGTTCTCTAACATTTCACACAGCAAATAATTATAGCATTTGGTCTGGTGTGCTGTCACTTGAAAGGCGACGATAGGGCAGCAAAGGTGGTTGTGGCTGTGCAATGATTCACCTGTTGCTTGCAGCAGCTGCAATCTGATTATGCACAGCTGTGATCAGGTATAAGGCACTGTACATTTCATCTGGGATTTATGCGGAGCGAGGCATTAGAAGTGACTGACCCAGAGAATTCAACATATCTGGGTTAATTATGTACATGCTCAGCTATAATTACAGCAAACAGGCTTAGGGTTAAACCTATCTAAGTAACAGAACCATCCTCTGTTAGTCAACTTTATTCTTGGACCAATCGGTTAAATATATGATGGCTTTACTTACCAGCTTGAAGATGAACCGCGTGGACCACGCACCTTCACTTCTAAAGCACTGTCATCGTCAACTAGATGTGAGCATTCCTTCCAGGGCTCCACTGCAAAATTTGCTGCCCCCCAGCCACTGGTACAGATCATTATCAGAATCTGCATGTTCCATGGATGCCCGTCGCAGCTGAACCTGCACACAAATGGTTGACATTCCGATAAGTGCCTCAGAACACAATCTATCGCTGAGATATTATATGCTTGCAAGTGGTACCAGTCACAAGTAACGCATGATTATTTGTGCATCATAATACAGCCAAACTCTTTTATAAGAGACACTGATATAAGAGACAGATGGGCATAAGAGACACAAGTTAGCGTATAGTAAAATACAGGTTAACAAGAAAATGCATACGAAGTATCCTGCTTATGAGAGACATCTCGTTTAAGAGACAAGAATTGCTCCAAGAGCATGCCTCTTATAAAGGGGTTTAACTGTACTTTTCATGCACTTGTGACACATTATGTTTTAGGTCCACTATGTTAGTTTTCATTGCTATTGGCAGGTATCATTGCTTGGAACTGTGCTGTCTATAGGCCTGGTTTGTTCTATTTGTACATACTTCCGTACAGTTTATCTTTCAAATAACAAATTCATGGCATTTCTTTTTTAATAGTTTTGGCCACAGATTCAAGTTACAGAATAAAATGTTTTAAGTATCAGTTATGGCAGTGCACATAAATTTCAAGAAGCAGAGTTTAGAGACCTTGCAGAAGACACAAAATTTCTATCCTTTTTTTTTTGGGGGGGGGGGGAAGGGGGCCACTTTGATGCTTTATTTTTCAATGCACACAGCTATGTCTTTTCAAAATAAAACTCATTAGTATTAAAGTGATAATATCAGAATAAATGAGTGGTAGAGGTATACGTATAACTCACTACTCGATGTCGGCAGTAAAAATTGCACTGATTGATTTTTCTCATATGAAGAAGGAATATGCAAGATACTTATTTGTCACTGATTACTGATGAGATGTTCTTTTCATAAGTTGCCCTCTAACTTCCACATATTTCAATCATTTCTAATAGCAAAAAAAAAGTGTGAGTAAAGCTTTCTCCCCTAACATTTTTTGAACACATTGAGCACGTTACGGCCAAATGCTTCACAGCATAATACACAATCAGATGCGACTCTGCTTCGAAATTCACGAGAGCCTATTAAACTGAAGAACAATCGAGCATGCATGTCTTACCTGTATCCGGGTAAAAATTATGGCCAGAATGTGTGGAAAGTCATCAAACGGAATGACGTGCACTCCGCAATAGACGCCTTGGGTGTAACGCGGATCCGAAGGGTCCCACAGGCCTTCCAGAGTTTCAACCAAATTGTAGCATGGAAATTCGTACTCCACGTCACCATCATTGTCACACTTGGTGCACATCTTGAGGTTCTCCAACACCTGGGCATGATCATATACAAGATGATGTTGTCACAATGGGGAGAAAAGCTTTCACTAAACAATCAAGTGATTTCACTCAGTTAACCGTAGAACTGAATGTTGACGAAAGGCTACTAGGACCTCTGGTTCAAAGGAACATTGAACGCTACGTTTCAGTGTTCACAGAAAAGGCACGCATACTGGCAGCTACCTGAACTTCAGGTCTGTCCATCCTCAAACTCGTAAAAGATCAATGGTAGTCTCCTTGTTAGGCTATGCAGTAGCATTTGTGTGAATCCTAAAGACCTGACCGTTGAACTGTAAATAAAGTTTGGAAGGACCTTTAAATGTGTTGTTACCAATGAGTGTTGATTAACGTGTTGGAACATTCTTTGTCTACTCGTTTACAGCCTGCCTGTGTCAGACAAAATAAACTCGCTTCTGTTCTTTACGTGTGCCAGATAAGTGAGACCTCATCTCGCGAACTGCGTAGCTACGACATTGAAGTTGCCCACATGCCTGTACAAAAGTTAAGGCATGCGCTTGTAAGTGGGAAAGACAAGCTACCGAAGGAAACCTTCCCTGGTTTTGTGTACAAGTTCTTCTTAGATTGCGGAAGCATTCACATTGGGGAGAACGGCAACTTTAGACAGCCAACATCACAATGATGTGAAAAGAAAGAAAGTGCCATCTAATGCACAGGCGGGACATGCATCTATGACTTAGCACACCAGTGACTGGATGAATGCAAGTATAAATGCAAGTATGGAAACTTTCCCTTGCCCTATGCGTCATGCTTTTGTCACAAGATGAAACCAACATAGGAGGCACATCTTGTCCATTGGCCTCATTGTGAGCAAGGCTTCCATGAAGAAGATGAAAAGTCGACTTCTTTTCAACTTTTATTTGGTCAGTGTACATTCTTTCATCAATGTAGAGGGAAAAATCATATGGTAGCTTTATCACTGTTAAACGTGATAAAATGCATAGCGGAGGCATCCAGCGATCTCATTGGTAGAGTTTCCACTGCGCCATGTACCAAAGCATCGGCGACACCAATGCATGATGTAAGCATGCATGTAGGGTTTTTCCGGCACGAGTAGAATCTGGTTAGGTAGAATCACAATCTCAGTGTACAACATGTGTGCTACTTTTTGCTGCACTTCATCGACTTCCTGCTTGTTACGGTAGTCGTGATACTCGTCATCTAAAACAAGCTCTGTAAAGTTGTTTTCTCCATCAGATGTAGCAACGCAGAACGAGCGAAGCTCAGAGGGTGGCACAGCTGCTCGCTCATTGAGCCAGTGGCCCCTTTCATGCATCGTGGTTGATTCAGCCACATGTTTTCTAAATGTTTTCATCAATTTTAAGTTAGTTATTGCAATTTATTCTGGGTTATTTAAGTCAATTGTATTATTTTGGACCCTGTTAGTTCATTTAACTCTGTTTTGTGCACTGTCAGCCTTGTTACAGCCTATATTGATCACCTCTCTGTGAGCGTGACCATGCAACATGAGATCCATAGATGGATGACAAGCCATGCCCCCAAGGTGTTCCACACTTATGTTACTTGGGACATATGGCCAGTGACTCGTTAACAAAAGCAGAGAATTAGTTGCAGTCATCAAGAATCCTTTCCTGCCAAGGCACTTATTAATATAATGACATTATCTTCTGAGAGCTGAAACAAAAATTTTATGATCTGAATGCCTTACAGGCCCTACCCATTATGAGGTATGTTCAAAACAATTGGGAAGCTGATAAAAACAGTTTTGACTCCAACCAAAGTAAAATAGATAAAAACATGCAAGAACCTGACGTTCCGAAACTACCTTGATTCCATCTTCAGGAGAACTGTGGCGACATTGCAGCAGCATCTTAAAGGCACTCACGTGGCAGTTAATGACCCCACGTTTTGCTGCGGAGCATAGTCCATGGGCATTCACTGGCGGAATGGTTCCAAGAGAATGATTTGTGTTTCAGGGACGTTCACTGTATATGCCACAGCTTTTAGATGTCCTCTGCAACATCGCCATAGTCGCCACTGAGGAAGAAAACAAGTCAGTTCTGTAGCGTTGGGTTCTTACATGTTTTCCCGTACTTTGGTTGGAGTTGAAATAGTAGTTTTTCTCAGTTTACCTACCTAACCATACAGGCTTCTGTCTAATGTTACCATTCAAGAGGGAAGCTGCTTTTGCATACGTGAACGTAATTGGACACACGCATCTGAATCCAAAGTATCGGCCAACATTCTCAAAGAAATAAAAAACAGAAAATGCTCCGAGTCACGGCACACACTGTTGTAGGTGTTGGGCGGCACATCGGCTCTAGCCACTCTCCGCCCCTCTTCCTGAGTAGCTTCTCCTCTTGCGTCCCCCTCATGTGATTGCTCCACTTGTGGTTGATAAGCAATTGCAAAATTATTTTTAGAGGAAATTTATTTTAAGGGAATACATTAGTGAGGTCATTCTACAATAATGTAGGAAGGTGTTACAGGGCCCCTTGATAATAAATAATACAGTACGCCACATTCTCTGCCCTTTGGCATGCGTCCATGTCCATGCAACAGTGAAATGTGGCAATGTGAATTGACAAGCAACCTCAACAGATTATCACACTGCCACATCAGAAACGGCTGATTGCTGACAGGCCTACGATCAAGAGAGCATGAAATATTAGAAAACAATTCGCACAAACATGCATATGACCGGTGCACCTTCAAGGGCCAAGTTTCTGCGCAGCCACTGGCACCAACTTTTTTGCGAACTGCACTGTCACTGAAATCTGAGAGTCGTAACAAGTTTTGCTTGAAAAAAAGGAAGGAACTACACACCTGCAGGAGGTCTATAGCATCTGTGTCTGGGAAGGCAAACTGGAAATCTTCCACGGTGTAGCAGCCAGTCACACGTGCCTTCTCAAGGTGTTCCTGGGAGAGCAGCTCTCCAATAACAGAACTACAGAGCCATTTAGGATTGAGTACCACCATGTCCTCCGTTTCCGATTTTGTGTACAGCACCTACAACAAGAAACAAGAAAAGGGCGATTCCGTCAAGTTGCCATACTCGACACATTTAATAAACTTATAAAGAAAGTTTCATGTCAAAGGACACAGAGGGATAAATGGACTAGTGCCAACCTCATTGGCATCACCTAGCACAACATGTTTTTGGACAGTGCATAAACAACTCATCCAGACTGCCATTTTTACTTATGAACTCAGCAACAGCACTTTAAAGGAATAGAATAATCATATACCATATCAAACTGTATTAATATGCATCAGCCAGTTTGTAATACGAAAAATAGCTATGATATACTAATTAAAAAGTCATATGCCAAAAGCTTCACTAAAAAAAATGTAAGTTATTTTAAGCTGACTCATTGAAGTGGGACACTTAACTGCATTTGGATTATTAGATCATTCAGTATGTTAAAAGAGCACTGACATGAATTTTCAATATGTTCAGCCTATTGTTCTAAATAACAACACAGGTTTCAAGAATCTCATAAAGAGTGTTGTAGTCTTTGGGAATGCATTAGATATATATTTTCAATACCACCATTTTAATGGAGAACTTTCAGTATTGGTATCGAAGGGGAAGTTTTGCAGCGATGTATAACACAAGTCTGATGTCTTGGGAAGACCGCCACTCGGAACATACTAGCAGCAACTGTCTTTTGCTGTCAGTGGCATGTGGTTCACATAAACGACAAGTAAATTGTCGCCCGGCGACAGCAACAGTGATCACTGTGATTCAGTCTGCCTGCCAGGTGCAAAGTTAGCAAACCCAGTGAACTGTCTCGACTTGTGATAGAGTCTATTGCGACGAGGCTCACTTGCGGATGCAGGACAACAAACTTTAATATTAAAGTAAAGTATATTATGCATGCTCTGTATAGCTGCCAGTGTATAGAGAGTATTGATAGTGTAACCATGGAAACGAAAAACACACCTTTAGGGGTGCCTCGAAATCGTGTCAGTCCTCCTTTAAGTTTAGTAAGCTCGTATTGCAAAACAAGGCCTAAGTTTGTTTCTTTGTCAAACAAATTTTTAATGAATGTTTGAAAAACATGAATGTTTGCTGGCCTCTTGTTCATATTTGTTGGAGCCGAAGTGAAAATTATGAAGTGTTGTGCAAGCACGCAAACTAACATTTATAGACAAGCAAGCATGTGATTTCCGTGAGCTGCTTTGATGTGCATGTCAAAAACCATTTCTTACATTCATTGTCTGCAGGCAAAGGGATGATGATATAGTACAAACCCACCATGGAAGCACCACTTGTAGTAGAGTGCAAGCAAGTCACGCTTGCACGGCAACCAACGCGCATGTGCAACACTCGATCCAACACTCAATCACAAGCCTCCTTATATACTCGACTGCATTACTGAATAAACTGCTTTTGTTCCCCGCTACTCGTCTGGCATACTTGGTGTCAGAAGTGGCACAGCAGTTAGTTTCTGCCGTGCAGCAAGCTTTTCCATGTAACCACAGCCTTAACGGAGACAGTACGGGATGAGCGTCCCTCACGCCGAAGCCCGCGAGACAAGTCCGGATCACCCAGAATTGCAGACACAACCATGAGTTCGACACTGCTACCACCCCTAAAGCCGCTCGACACCACTGGCGACGTTTAGCATAACTGGAACATCTGGAAAAGTGAGTTTGAACTTTTCGCAATAGCAACGAATCTGAAGGCACAGCCGCAAGATGTTCAAGCCGCTACATTTCTCATGACCATCGGCGAAAAGGCAAGGCGGGTTTTTCGAACCTTTAAATTTAAGAAGGAGGAAGACAAGAAAAATCTGAATGTCCTAACCCAGAAGTTCGAAGACCACTACAAACCAGTTACAAACCTCACCTTCAACGAGTTCAGGTTTGGTTCCAGAAACCAGCGAGAAGGCGAGTTGTTTAATGATTGGATCACAGAGCTCAGGATTCTAGCAGCGCTGTGTGAATTCGGGGAGCTTGAAGATAGGCTTCAACGAAGTAGAATAATCCTTGCGATACGAGACAAGGAACTTCAGCAGAGACTTATCCATTATAATCTCTCCTATGCCAAAACAGCTGAGATTCGCCGTGCTAAAGAACAGCGTAAAGAACAGGTCACTGAAATCCGAGGCAGCACTTCTTTTGAATCTGAAAAAAGCATTGACGCAATACAAGAAAAAACCATCCCCTGCCCAAAATTCCGCTTGCAACATCACAGATTTCGAATGTGTCCGGCAATGGGGAAATATTGCAAGAATTGTAACGGTCGAAATCGTTTTGCAAGCGTGTGTAGCACTCGAAGCATGGAAACGCGGTCAGAAGGACGACACATACGACATGTAGAAATGACCGACGACAAAGAATACTTCCTGCAAACCTTGGAAGTTCACGCGATAAAGAATGATGAGCACTGGGTGGCGATGTTGAATGTAGCTGGTGCTATGATCAGGTGCAAAATAGACACGGGAGCGAACTGTTGTGTCATACCGAAATCTGTCTTTCGAAAGTTATCAGTGGCTCCTGCGCAAAACAGTTCCGCTACCTTGCGTAGTTTTTTCGGTCACACACAAAAAGCAATCGGAAAGATAAACCTTGCTGTCTCTAGCAGCATGCAGAGCACCAAGTTTACGTTTTTTGTTGTCGCTCAAGAGGTGCCAGTTACACTAAGTGGTGAAGTCGCTGCGAGACTGGGCCTAATACAACGCATACATGCAGTCAACGTCGAAGCATCTGACACGTTGGTATCCGGCTTTGATGATATTTTCCAGGGCCTAGGACAACTTGAAGGCTTCACCTATCTCCTTCAGCTTAAACCCGATGTACCACCAACCATCAAACCCGCAAGGAGAATTGCCGTCGCCCTTCAAGAACCAGTGAAAGCAAAGCTAGACGAGATGGAACGCAACGGCGTCATCACAAAGGTGAAAGAGCCATGCGTGTGGTCCAGCCACATGGTTGTAGTAATAAAGAATGGGAAGGTACGCATATGTTTGGATCCTTTAGATTTAAAAAAGGCGATTTTGCGAGAGCATTACCATATGCCGACTTTGGACAATGTACTGCCGCGGCTGCAAGGAGCCAAATATTTTTTCACGCTCGATGCTACATCAGGCTTTTGGCAAATAACCCTTGATAAACAAAGTTCGCGTGTGTGCACTACGAGCACACCGTTTGGAAGGTACAGATTTCTACGCATGCCGTTCGGCATCACATCGGCACCAGAGGTTTTTCAACGTGCCATGCATGAAGCGGTTGCAAATTTGGCTGGCGTAGCGGTCGTGATGCATGATATATTAGTCTGGGGAAAGACGAGGCAGGAGCATGACAGAAACCTCACCGCCTTGCTTGAACGCTGCAGAGAATGCAATTTAAGGCTCAACAGAAAGAAGTGCCAATTTTTGCAGTCCAGTGTACGTTACAAGGGCCACCTCCTCACTGCAGAAGAACTCTCATTGGATCCAGAAAGAGTACAAGACATCATTCAAGTACCTGCACCGAAAAACCGTAAGGAGCTTCAAATATTCCTTGGATTGGTCAACTTTGTATAGCGTTTCATCCCGAACCTGTCTGTTGCATCCGCGCATGTGCGAGAGCTGCTTAAGAAGGACGTCGCATGGACGTCAACAGAAGCGCAGGAAAACAGTTTCCAAAAGTTGCGAGCTAGTCTTGCTACAGCGCCAGTACTAGCCTACTTTGACCAGTTCAAAGCAGTGAAATTGTCCGTTGACACGAGCCAGTACGGCGTCGGCACAGTCATCCTACAAGATGACCACCCCATAGCCTATTCTTCCCGCTCTTTAACGGCCACGCAGCAGAAATATGCACAAATCGAAAAAGAAAACCTAGTCATAGTTCATGGCTGTATGAAGTTCAAGGACTACAACTCGGACAGCCATTAGTCACAGACGAATCCGACCATCAGTCACTTGAATCAATTTTCAAGAAACCACTCTGCAATTGCCCTCTTCGTCTTCAGCGCATGTGCCTCGTGCTACAAAGATTTCCCATCGCCGTGACATACAAACTCGGAAAAGAACTGTCTTTGGCCGATGCACTTTCGTGTTTTCCTCGCAAAACAGAGCTAGTGGATGACACGGAACAATTTCAAGTCAACGCTGATTTCTTCGTTACCTGTTTCAGATCAGCAGCTACTCAGCATGAAAGCAGAGACTGAGAAGGACACACTCATGATCGAGCTCTGCCGCTACGCAAGTAAAGAGTGGCCCCAAAGCAGGCAGCAGCTGCCGGATGCCTTAAAGCCATATTGGAGCTTCCGGGATGAGCTCCACGTCGAGGACGAGCTGCTTCTCAGAAGTAACAAGGTTGTCATTCCGCCAGCAAAGCGCAGAGAAGTTCTCAGCCTGCTCCACGCTGCACATTGTGGCGAAGTTAAAATGAAGGCAAGGGCACGACAGGTAATGTACTGGCCAAACATGAATGCTAATATTTCAGATGTAGCGAAGACATGTGCTGTTTGCGACAAATACAAAAAAAGAAATGCAAGGCTTTCCATGATCAGCCACGAGTTACCAACTCTGCCATGGCAAGTTGTTGGGGTGGATCTTTTTCACCACGAAGGCAATGAGTACTTCATATTCGTTGACTCTTACTCATTTTTCTTTGAGATTCGCAAGCTTAGTCATGCCACCGCTGCTGCAGTAATCAAAGCAAGTGCAGAAATCTTTGCGACACATGACATTCCAGCAAAGCTGTGCAGCGACAACGGCCCGCCTTTCAACAGCACGGACTTCCACGCTTTTCAGAGCAATTTTAATATCAACCACATCACGTCTAGCCCGTACTACCCGCGCGACAACGGCTTAGCAGAACACGCTGTTCAGGAAGCTAAGCATCTGTTAAACAAGTGCCGTTTTGCACCCTTGAATATTACAGTGCATTGCTGGAATGGTGGAACACTCTGAGGGACGAATGGCTGCAATCGCCAGTTCAAAGGCTCATGGGATGTCACACCCAAAGCCAACTCCCAGTCCTCAATTGTCACTTGGAACAGAAGACAGTTCCCACAGAAACTGTTCATCAGCGACTGCAAGAAATACGATGTAAACAGCGCTTCTACTACAACAGAACTACAAGGAGTCAGCCAGACCTTCACAGCGGAAACCGAGTGTCCATATATGACACACGCAGCAGAACGTGGGCTCCAGCCGTAATGGTCGGTCCTGCAGGGCCCACGCGATCCTACTTGGTGACTACAAACAATGGGCAGCAGCTATGCCGCACAAGAGAACATCTTAGCGACATAGAAGTCTCGTCGCCTGCCCACAAGTCCCCAGCAGAAAACCAAGCAGCACCATCAGACTTAACTCAGGTCCTTCGAAGAAATGAGCGCATACGCCGAGAGCCGCAACGTTATCCATTGCCAGACCGTCACAAATAGCAAGGCTATCCATGTTTGCAAACTAAAAATTTCCTCAACGCTTGTTTTTTTTGTTGTGTGTGTGTTATGTCTCTTTTTTTGCCCCAAAGAAGGGAAGATGTAGTAGAGTGCAAGCAAGTCAGGCTTGCACGGCAATCAATGCGCATGTGCAACACTCGATCCGCTTATCACAAGCCTCCTTATATACTCGGCTGCATTACTGAATAAACTGCTTTTGTTCCCCGCTACTCGTCTGGCATACACACTGATAACAGGCATGGTGCTACAGGAAGCCTCAACAGAGGTTCCCAAAGTCTGTCAAGGTGACGAAATTCAGGACCATGTAAGCATGCAGAACAATCAAGTAGGGTGCAGGGATATTTTAGAGGCAACATTGCATGGCACAAATAGTGCAAGCTATGATGAAAGGTGTCTTTAGTTATTATGTACACTAAGAGCGAACACTAAGTAAAGAAAAATCTGCAAATCAGAAATTTTAAATCAAAACAAATGACTTGTTCCACAGGTCATACATATACATAGTTGGTTATCATGACTAACTACACATGAACACAAGCTGCACAAGAAAATCTACAGAACAAGTATGACCAGCTATACTTTTCCTAATACTTCTCCGACTATTAGAATGTTTCGCTTTTCTATGTACCTTTCCTCTATTCTGTGCTTGACCAGCTTTATTTCCCCTTTTTAATTTTACTTTTGAACTATATAATCCTAACTTTTTTGGGTGTGCACAGGACAAATTTCTCCAGAAACCAATAGTACAGAAGATGTTGATGCAGGTGCAAATTTAGGAGTAGATTTACCAAAGAGTGTGAAAAAGCTAGGTTGAGGGAGGTTTTTTGGCACACAATGTAGACAAAATTATCAATGATGATCAGTTACTGTAAGGACATGAGAACCAATTCGCACTGAACTGCTCGACTCCTAGACTGATGGATTTGGAAAACTGCTCCAATTTGGGCAAATCACAGCTCCGGGCGATGAATGTAGACAGGGCAAATTTAGAGCGTCTTGCTGTCAGAATTTTGGAGGTACTTAGCTACGGTGCAGAAACCTGGAGACTTACAAAGAGGGTTCAGCTTAAATTGAGGACGACGCAGCGAGCAATGGAAAGAAAAATGGTAGGTGTAACCTTAAGAGACAAGAAGAGAGCAGAGTGGATTAGGGAACAAACGGGGATTAAGGATATCATAGCTGAAATCAAGAAGAAGAAATGGACATGGGCAGGGCATGTAGCGCGTAGACAGGATAACCGCTGGTCATTAAGGGTAACTGACTGGATTCCCAGAGAAGGGAAGCGGGTTAGGGGGAGACAGAAGGTTAGGTGGGCAGATGAGATTAAGAAGTTTGCGGGTATAAATTGGCAGCAGCAAGCACAGGACCGGGTTAACTGGCGGAACATGGGAGAGGCCTTTGTCCTGCAGTGGACGTAGTCAGGCTGATGATGATGATGATGATGATGATGATGATGATGATGATGATGATGATGATGATGATGATGATGATAATGGTGATGCTGTCAGAATTTATGGTTGGCTGGCTAACAAAATTTATGTCAGATGTATGAAAAGGTCAAGAACATGGGTTGTCGTGGACTCCAGCGACACTATCGTGTTCACAACAAAAGACTCCAGTGAAACTACCGTGTTCACGAAAAAAACGCTCAAGCGATACAACATGTTCACAAATTCTTCGTCTTTTCAGGCTTCTAACTTCCCCTAAACTCCTGCCTTTTCTGAATGACAGATGTAAGCCATTCAGGCATTGTGGCTCATTACTGTGAATAAATATGCAAGTACACATGACGTGGCCAGTACTATGCCCAGTATTTTTTCTAGGAGGTTTATAAAGGTGAAACAGAGTGGCAGTGAGGACCAGCATGGCTAAAAACAAGAGTAAATTTTCTGCTTAGGTCATGGCAACTTCGTTTTCAGTACCACTACGCTACAGTGGTGCTACAGTACTACAGATATCGAAGAAAGTACAGGCACACGTTGGAGGTGGAGGTGGCTATCGAAAGCCGTAGTAATCAGTGCGTTGCCAATACGGCCGCATTAAAAGCAAATGGACCTATCAGTGACGAGCACCTTTCAGGCAGAATGTGACTAGTGATGAAAAGTACTGTGCGAAGTTTAGTGTTTGGAGGATTACTGAGCACGAAGAGCTAAGACCTATGTTCTCACATTTCTGTTGGACAGCCACGCGAACCATCAGAATTGCAACTGGTGGTAAATCTATATGCATTGCAGAAAAGGATTGCAAATAGGCAGTTTGAAAGCTTGTGGAAAACAACGGAAGGTAATTACATTGTGTCTTTGAAAAGCACTGAAGCAAAACTCAATGTATCGATGCCATTGGAGCTCTGAAGCAATGACAGTGTTCTAGCATCTACAGCTAAGCACCTGGCATTGTTGCTTCATATCAAAAAGCTTTGCTATTAAGCCATTATTCAGTGAGAAATTGAGAAAAGGAAACATGTAAGCCACTTCTAGATTGTCCTTCAATAATGAAGCGTATAAGTATCAACTGTACTCACCGAGAAAGGGTAACTATCTTAACAGAGTACAGACCGGTAATGGTTAATGGCTTGGCTTTGCATTTTGCTATTTTATCATGCAGTTTAATGCTTTCCTGTTTTTTTTCTTCTGTGCTGCTCATATGTACATGTTTCCTAAGAGAATAAACCAGTTGTAACTGTTAACTCAGCGTCTTGTTTGACCTTGTTACAGCCGTCTCGGGAGTTCAGCACGGTTCATAATCAGTCAACGTTTTCTATTGGACATAATTGTTAGAACAGCATTGTTTCTCTACACTCAGAAAAGACGAGCTCACCTCTCCCATTAGTTGGAGCTGGTGGATGAGCTCACGCATGTGTTCCTCCCCTGCCAGAGGGTTCACTTGTATGTGCACCATATCCATAAACTGGCGCCAGGTAAGCACTGGAAATGACGGCGATGATTTCCTCCAGTTGGGGAGGTGCCCCACCATTGATTCCAAAAAGCCGGTGCTCTTGGGAAGGTTCTGTAGAAGGAAGAAAACAGATATAGGCACCGCGTTACACTTGAAAAACTTTTCCTGAGTACTTAGTTGCTGGAGACACGAGGAAAAGCAAGCTTGTCGATTTGAGAAAGCTCGCAAGCCAAGTTAGCGCTATAATTCAGCTAAGAAACTATCAGAAATAGATCAGGAAAATAAATAGAACTCAACCTCATTAAAAACAAGCACAGTTGCTTGTAAGACAAGATCAGATGCAGATGTACACACGACAATTACCTACTACTGCAGAACACTTCTCTAATGAAATTAACTGTACTCTGAAGGATACTTACATTTTGGCTATAGTATCTTAAGTACATAATTAATAAACAGCAGCAGGGATGGAGATAAAGATGCTAGGGAATGAATTGTGTCCTATCCGCCTTCATCTTTGTCCTTAGTGCTGCTTATTATTTTACGACGACTCACCAAGCTGGCCTTACCTACACAACTTTACAACAGAGATAAATGTGCTTCGGTTTAGAAGTGCATAACAGTAATAGCTGACTGACAGACTTTCTTATGTGCAAGAGTAAAGTGCGACTAAAAAACAATGATTCATACACACATCTGCTAGATATGCTTCGATATAGAAGTGCATAACAGTATACATAATAGCTGGCTGACAGACTTTATTATGTGCACGAGTAAAGTGCAACTAAAAAACAATGATTCATACACATATCTGCTAAACCACAAATTTAGAGCATCATGCTAAAGCACAAGGCAAACATAATGAGTACTGGAAAGTGGTCTTGGAGGAATATTGTCCATATAATTCATATTCATCCATACACTGCTCATCTATTCATGAAAAAGAATAATAGTAGACACAAATAACACTATGTTTACTTATATTTATGTTACCTAAAAGGCCCCAGTTCAGGGTTTTTGCATGAGGGGTAGTCCAAAAAAATTACCGTAACAAATGTTTGGCAACTTTTATGAAGAGTACCGAGCTGGAGTGGTGCACGGCAACGGCAGGGAAAGCACCACTCCCAGCCGGTGTTTCAACATGATCAGCAAACATATACATTGCCTGAGGTTACCCTTGAAGTGGAAAAAAAAAAGCACCCACTTTGGTATGCAATAAGCGTGTCCATCAATGTAAAAGAGCCAGCAAGCATTGCTGTTATAGTTAACTTCACACATCAAGTTCAACACTGTGAAGGCTAGCGAGGCTTCTTGTAGTACTAGACATGTTCATATTAAGAAGTATTTCAGTGAATTTACCACCCGGAATAGGTCTTAATTTTTTTCAGTTTTTAGCCTGTGTAATCAAGAACACCATTATAAGGGCATCATCAGACAATTGGATCCCTTTAAATCTTTTTGTTTTCATTGTTTAGTACTTTATTAGCAGGCTGTCACAACACAACACATAATGCAGAAGCTTGTGCTCGACTTGCGTGAGCATTCACAATGACGAAAGTGTACCATGTTAACGCGATGAGGTATACATTTTGCTGATTGAACTCCTTTTCTAGCTTTAGAGTGATGTGCCTGATGTGGGACAGAAAAAGTGCAAGCAGATTACCTGAACAATCTTGGCCCTGTTGTTGGAGAGGTATTGCTTGAGTGACTTCATACTCTGTGAACCAACAACATGGGCGTCCACGACAAACACAGTCTCATGCAGATCGAAAACATGCTGGAAGCGTTCTCGTGCAGCTGCCAGGACAATCTTGGCATCGGCTTCAGCATTGTTCTGCTGCTGCAGCACATCGCAGTTTTGGTTCCTGTTGATGTTGCTCGCACAGACATCAGCGTGAGTGGCCACCAGTGCCACCCTGAGGGGTGATGCACTTTTTCCTCCCATTCCTGCAAGCAGAGAAAATTTCAGAAAGTTTTATTGCAATTACCGCAGAAAGTTCGCTGACTCAGATGAGAGATAAAAGATTGGATGACATGAGTGCCAACTCACAACCTTAAGTTCATTGCATGTCCAATCGAATATACGCACAGGCCACATAATGCGTGCGGGATAAACAAAAGAACAGGGAAAACAAATTGTTCAGACATTCCGTTTCTTATCGATCACATATTGCATTAAAAAAAAATTTTTTTAAGTGTTCATTTACTTCTTTCTCTTGTTTATGAGGCATGCACCGTGCGGCATATTATATTTCTAGTGTGCACACAACAAACTTCCAATTGCGAGTCAGCACTCCTGTCATTCGATGCCTCATCCTTCATCTGTGCCGTGCTGCACATTCAACAAAACACTATATCCTATTGCAATGCAGACTAGTTCCCACTTTCTGGCTTTTATGTTTTTGCAGTGAAATATTAAATGACAGAAGATAGTAAAAAAGGTTTTCCGTCTCTGTAGCTGTCGCACAACAGCTAATTGTTTTAACAAACTACGCTAAATATACTCTATGCAATTATCAAAACATTCCTATTTCACGCCCACTTTCGTGCACAACTATTTTATCACGTAAGCTGTGCACTAATCTAAAATTGCTACAACTCTGAGAACAAGAACTGTTCACTTGTCCTTATTGCACCTGTAGCAAAGGAAAATAATGAGAGAAATGGGAAAAGGAAGTGGTCAGTATAGAAAGAACTCCCAACATCTACACTCCACTCTCTTAGCAAACTGTATCAATAATAATGGACAAGCAAAGACAAGCTTCATTATTGCAGATCATGAATTACATTACGTACCTCGCTGAAAACAAATCACAGACAACACGCTCGTGCAGCTAGGCAGTCCCCTGTTGCTTTGAGTATCATGCATCAAATAAAACTACTGCATCAGCAGGCTGCCACCACGTTCATATAATGTCAGTTCAAGCAGTAATCGCTGTTGCTGTGGCCGAACAAATGTGCTGAGCCCATGTGCTTTAGGTTACCCCCTCGTGCATCATGCAGTTTTTATCGGGGACTGCAGTTTACTGACTGTATGCCTGCCCTCCTCAGTTAACCCTTTCTCATCCTCGACTTTATCCTTGCCGTATGCCTAAGAAAAAGAGGTGTTTGCCCTTTACCACAACTGCATATTGACCTCATTTCCAAATGATACTGAGCAGAAAGGGTCTGGATGCGTGTCAACCACCGAGCTGTGGAACAAACTTCATGCATGGCGGTTAAGCACTAGCTGTTTCGTGATCACCGCAGACTGAGTGGTGGTATAGTGCAAACGTACTTCAGGGGCAAAAGCTAGCACTATGTTCACGGAACAAATATATACGCTAGACACAACCTTGATTGAAACCAGTGAATGATGAAGTCAAGGAAGGTATAGGGGATCTTTCAAGTGCATTGTATTGTGACACGGATGTGAAGAAAGTCAAGTGGAGGATAAAATGAGAACTTTCCACTGGCAGGGAACAAACCTGCAACCTTCAGATAGCACGCCTGATGCTTTATTGATTGAGCTACAGTGGCGGTCATCGCCCCGTCCACTTTATCAAGTATCTTATGTGCATGCAAATCTCTAGGTGTTAGCACCTGCTCGTAGCCATGACGGTGAGTGTGGAACTGCTCTTCGTTTTTCAGCTGGCCTCGTATAGCATGTGAATCGTTAATGAGCACACAGCCAATGAATAAGACCTCGCATACTGACTGAAGGCATCAAGTCTGCTGAAACAAGGCCCTCGCCATGAATATCAATGAAATTAGCCCTTTCTTTCGTACATATTTACACTGTTATTTGCAGAGGCATGATGGAGTGATTTTTTCATGCATCTTTCAAACAAATGAAAAGTCGCTGCTATTTTTAGATATACACTACCATAGTGATCGCATTATTGTTCCTTGTCATGCCATTACCATCATGCCAATGCTGTCGCTGTTACCATAATACTGCAGTAGCGAACCGGCTGCCTATAGGCTGGTTAACCTCCCTGCCGTTCTTTTCCTCCTATTTTCCTTCCTTCCTCCTATTCATCACTGCATGCCATAATGTTATACGACACACTTTTATAAAAGTATTTTTTTATGTATCTGTTTAAAAATGAACACAATAACAGGCCACAAGTGCCATCTGATTTAACATTACATTTTTACTTCTTCCCAATAGTGAATAAATAAATGAATGGATGAATGGCTCTGTACAGTATTGATCAGGTGGCTTCTCATGCCACCTAGCTGTAATACTTGGTGAAGTAATAACTATATATATATGAGAGACTCAATTTCACTCCTGCCTCGATTTTATTCACCAATCAGATAACCACCTCCTGCTCATTTCTACCTGCTTAATGTCAATAAGCCCTAATGGACTATAGAGCGGAAGCCTCTAACAAAAAAGTAACAGGTGTTCAGCCATTTTCTCCTCCTCTCCACATGTACCACACAGTGAGTGTATCCTTTTGTACTTGACTCTGTAAGTCTCAGTCTCAACTGCAGCACTTCACTGCCCCCTAGTGATGCCAGTATAAAATTCAACATTCGCCACTTACCTAAAGGTTCAACAGGTGGCGCCCTTGCCTGAAGGTAAGCTAGCCAGAAGGAGACCTGCCTGATCTGAGTGTGGACCGGCTCAGCAAGGCTGAACACAACTAAGTGAAGGCAGTGAGCGTTGCCCACAAAGTGGTCATACAGCATTAGGTAGGGCTCGTGTCCAGAGAACTCCCATATGCTCATGTCGCCGACACCAGACACAGTCACCTGCATAAGAGAGCAGTGAATTGAAAGCTATATCGTTGCTTTTTGTGACACTAAGCTTTGGCATATGTTGACCGCTATACAGAAAAAAAATGCAGCAAAATTTCATACGTGAAACAAAGTCATCCCAAGTAACCACGGGTATCCGCTGACTGTCCATTCTGAATACAAATGTCCAGCCATATGAATAGCCAATATACGCACTGTGAAAATCCACGTCCCATGTGGCTGTTCTCTGGACGTCCGAACTGGATGTTTAACTGGACACTAAGTTTTGAACGTTGACTGGCTGTCCATATAAGGACATGCCAAGCATATGTGTATTTGCTCATCAATTATTGTAAAATTATATTGTAGTGAAAATATGTAGAGATCTACAGAATGCCGGGTGTAATCTTGTAAAATTTCGTTAAAAAGGCTCCTTAAAATTCATTCAAATTTTGGCACACGCATTTGATCGCAGAAAGCCAAATAATATCGCTTCCTGTGGCAGAACAATATGGTTTATTCAATATGTGTATCGTATGTCTTAAGAAAGAATGTGTTTAGTGTTATTATTATCGCATGTGAACTAATGAAAATGTGGATCAAGCGCGTCATAGCAGTGTTCGTGTAGGCAAACTTCCATGCGTCAGCCTCAGCACTTCTCAACAGGCGGTGCACCGCAGTTGCTTAGATTCCTCAAATGTACACGTCATGCTAGCCGTGCCCCTCTGGATGTGTTGAAAGAAAACGCATGCAATTGTGCCTATTGTCTTGAAACTTGCTTGACCAGCGGGGTGCACTAAGGGAAGGAGCATGGGAAAGGAGCATGTTCGTGTTGCATCACATGTATGTACGCTGAGCCTGTCTCTGAGCAGCAGAAGGAAGATTTTTTTTATTTTTTAGGTGCACCCATGTGGGCATCGTGTGCCCGTGTGGACATCAATAGCAACACGTGAAGTTACAAAGGATGTCTTTTCTACAAGAAACTCTGAAACACAATACGAGCCCACCACTGTTTTCAACAGAGATTGCCACGGCAAGCAGCAGCAACCCCCGCTCACTCGCACGGCACATATGAGGCCACGTAGTTACATACCTGTTCTTTACGTCTCATATCAGACATTTATCTATTCTTAGCACGCATTAACTATTGTCTATCATTTGTATAAGCCCTGCTAATATGTGGCATGTTTCCATTTCTTCAATTGCTCGCATATTTCTTGCCATTAATCGATTTAAGACAAGAACGTGGTCAGTGCCTGTACACTTTTTTTAGAAGCATGTGCCACACCCATTAGTTTTTCTCCTTTGCTTGTCTGTATGTACGTATTGAGGTACTTGAATAGTGTTGCCATAAACAGGCGCGAGTCAGGGTTTGTTGCTAATAACCTAATTTAATAAACTCATAAAGACGCAATTTCTGCCGCCCAAGAAGTCATCGCACTTGAAGGCGGAAGGGCATTGAACACTGAAATCTTGTAAGGCTACATGCACACTTTCCCAATCGCGGCTGCAGACTGAGTTATGTGCTTCTTAGCCTTGATATATGTTGATAATAAAGGTTCAATTGTTCCTGAAAGCCCGCTTGGACTCCATTTTTTTTAGAATTCATTGCAGTAGAAAATCTCCCGCGGAAAAATGACAGGCCTCTGAGTAGGCTGTGTGCGTACGTTGTTCACATGAAAGGTTTTTCTTGAATATGCACTAGCTATATACGCACAAACATTATATATCCTTTGAAGGGCCTGTCAATGTCCATGTTGGATGTCCTGAAGGGATGTCGAGCGAATGTACAAATTCGTTACCTTTATACATGTGATATACGTCCATCGTACGTACTATGTACATTCATGGACATTCATGTCCGGAATATCCTGAATTTACGTGCCATCATATGCCTACCAGATATCCGTGGTTACTTGGGATGCTCAACTAAGGTGTGTGTGCTCAACATGGGCATTTGAGATCTGCAAGTTTTCCCAAATATTTCGCTGTAACGGTCATTAAAATTACTGGAGCATGACAAAGAGCCACAAATGTTGTGACTGAATAAAATGTGCCATTAACACATGTTGTAGCATGTCGTATGTATGTAAACACTATTTTGAAACAATTTTAAAGGTATCTTCAAGTACTCATAAACAAACCAACTTTTAGCAGTGAGAAAAACGAAGATAGTTCTTGTACATGCTGAACATAATATACAGCCTCTTTGTAAGGTCTTCACGACCATGCTTTTCAGACTTTCATCTGTCTTTTTCACTTTTTTGTTGTATTTTGTTTACCTTGCGACATACAAACCTCCTACGAAGAATTTCACATCAATGACATGCATTTAAACCAGTTATTCCATTTTACAGTCTTTCCTACAATCACTTCACAGAAATTTTGTCGCCCTACTAACCTGCTGCACATCGATGCCGTGGGTGTAGTTGGCATTTGCAGTCTCATAAAATAATGGCTGCGAGTTGCTCATCACATCCGCACAGCTGGAAACGAGCAGAGCGGGAGGTGTGATCGCCTTCTTGTAATCGTTCATGTCACTGGCGTCATTGAGATCCGCAGTTCGAATGTTGTTCTCACTGTCTGTGTCAATGGTGTACTCATCCATTGCTGGCGTGCTGGATCGGCTGCTGTGAGGTCCCGATGCTGTGCAAAGAAGCAGGATTCTGGTTTTATTTTCTGGACCTGTGTTCTTACTTTATTACGGTTGAGCAGACACGCAACAAACACTTGCTTACAAATGCTTAAAAAGGACAAACGTTAGTTCTGGTTTCTTTTGGTTTTGTATGCACGTATTCACCTAACTTTTTAGGCTGTATCACTAGGAAGCAAATAACGCTGAACCTTGTAGCTGCTGCTACATGAATTCACCATGGGACTATACTAGCCTTTTGCTACTGGTTTAAATTCTTCTATAAATAAAAAAATAAACCACCTTAATTCAGTTGCATTATCGATTATTGATGATTAGCATGCAGTGAGCACTCAAGGAACATACTGAGTCAATAGTAGCACCACAAAAATTTAAAAATTTTTTTTTTTAATTGGAGGTCGCTTAAGCTTCGCCTTCAACAGTAGATCCCAATAGCATAATCAGGACTAGGCTAAATTGCCTCCTGCTACTGCTAGCCTGCTTCAGTTTTCAGTGCATGCGTCAACCGTGCCGTTAGAAAACGAACTGACTTGGCGTGTAACAGTGGCTGTTTCAAAGTATCGTTGGACGCCTATTGCAAGTACAGTCGTTAGGTGCCCATTACAGTCATAATTATTTCTTTTGAGAATCATCTAGAGGCCCACCACGTGTCCGTAGGGCAAAACCTCAACATACACAGTTGTTAAGACTGATGATGCTTCTCCTGCTAATGATTATTAAGTATGTCCGAGTGCTTTGTAATGGGTGGGCCTTTAAAACACACAATTGTTGATAGTTTTGCATCTTTTGACACTTGGTGCAATTATACGCTTCTACCGCACATTATATGATGCATTAAGTAGACTCCTTCCACTACCCGACACACGTATCACATTTTTCCAAAGCAGTTTCAACATGTCTCGTGGCTCTGTGTTAGGACACCTGAATGCCATGTAGACGGCCTGGATTCAATCCACCTCGGACCTCGAAACTGTTATTATTTATTTTACTTGCACCTTTCTCGATTTTGGGGTCACGGACGAGATTTTTCGCTAACCAATAATGACGCCCATGCTGACACCAATGCCCACGCCGGGATTTCTGTGAGGCAAGCTATTTAACACTATTGCATTCTAATTAAGAAAATACACGGGTGGAAAACAGCAATTAATGGCCACTAGTATCAGCTCCTCTTGCTAACCATCTGTACCAAGTGCTTGGGCATTGAATGAGCACATGGCAGCTCATCAGGGTAATAATTTTCTATCTACGACACATATGGCGAGTCACGACCATAGCAGCTTTGCTATAAGGACTTGGGTATTAGCTGCTAGAAATGTGTTCAGGATTTACTATAACGACTATAGATAACGGTAATCATATGCATATCAAATGGTAAGAAATAAGACATATATATGTGCACTGTAATATACAAACCAAACACTTGCACTATAGTTAAATTTAGTTTAAAATTGTGTCTACTTTGCCTGCAAGTAAGAGCCCAATTGCATTATATATCATATACAATAGCCAGCTAACCCTGTGTTTTTAGGCGTGGCACTACAACTGATGAATATACACTGTGACAATAATGCAATTCATTGCGTAGCATATCCGCGTTAAACATGTCCATGTTTTCTTTTTCTTTTTAGTTCATTTGTATCTATTTTCATCAAGGATTCGAGATGTACAGCAGAAGTACAGTAGACTCTCGATAATTCAAAGCCTCACAATTCATACTATCAATTAATTCAAGCAAAACTAATTTTTTTGATTGGCCCTTATTCTTTTAATGTATTTAAGTCCTCTTAATTCAAACAACGTCATTTGGTTAATTCACACTTTTTAGTTTCATACCAGAAAATATCTGCTGCTTTCCCACCACTATTTAAAAATTTGCATGCTTATATAGTCCTAAATGTCTAAAAATTAAATATAAGCAGCTCAGGCCTTCAAGCAAAAAAGCTTCGCTAGTAAACAAGTGTTTGAAACGCATGATAAATCGTGATGATTCTCAACTGGTATAGAGCTTCGTGCTGAAGGCACATACTTATAACAAAGAAGCAACTGGCGATTCATTAAAAGGTCTGATCAGCACTAAATGGCTAATAAACTTGTGGACCTTACTCCTCTGTTTTCTGTTCATTACATGTAGTTAGAGCCTAAAAACACTTAAAAAATTCTAAAATTTGATAAAATCAATGCTTAATCGTAATGTGTGGTGTTTCCTCGTTTTCTCACCCAGAGTCATCTATCTGGAAACTTCTGATAATTTAAACAAAATTCAGAGGTCCCTCCGAGTTTGAATTAACGAGAGTCGACTGTATAAACAACTGGCTGAGTTGAAATAGCTGGACAGCATTTTCAACAATCATACTATGACCTCCTGCCCCTCTGCACAGTCTTAGCCTTTTTCCCAAGAGGTACAAGTTTTCTCTGTATTGAGATCGTTCATGAGTGTTATTCGCACTCTATTGGCTAGTCTACAGATCCCTGCGACTAAATGTGCACTGCAAGTCTTGGACACACTAGAACTAATTCTTGCCGGACTTCAGTAACAAGATGGCGCACCGTATACCACATCAGTCTTTCTGAGAAAAAGTCAAGCGTGCTTCCATAATTCAGTGGAACGCCAGAGGTCTACAGTCAAGAGTGCCTGAGTTTAGACAGTTCGTTTTCGAGAATAAGTGTTCCATCATCGTCATTTGTGAACCAGCATTTTTCAAAAATAACTCGACTGTCGAGCTATGAATCCTTCGTTTCTTCATCCTGCATTGAGCGAAGTCAAGTTGCTGTATACATCCGTAAAGAACTCCCTTATGTTCGCCAAAGAGTAGAGTCTCACAATGGAAATCACTATGTGTGCCTATATGTTAAAAAGAAGAAATTGTCATTTACGCTGATAGGCGCATATATAGCGCCGTCACATCGAGTGGATCAACAGACATAAACTGATATATTTCTAACGACTCCAGAACCTTGGATATTGATGGGTGACTTCAACGTCCATCATTCACTGTGGGGAAGCATCAGGACAAATCGAAAAAGCACGAACCTAGTTGATCTCACATTAGAGCACGGGCTTCAGGTGCTGAAGGATGGCAGCCCTACTTATCTCCGAGGAGTAACTTATAGCAGTTGCCTGGATTTGACATTAGTGTCACATCGCATTGTCACAAAAGTCCAATAGTTCACGGATATTGAAACCGACGACAGCGACCATATCCCCACGTACGTGACAGTCAGAGGTCTGGACAATTCTTCTTCCCCTGGACACGCAAGACATATTGACTGGAAAGAGTATCAGATATCAGTGGAGAGCAAGTGCACACACGAATCGCCGGAATTTATTGAAGAAGCTATTTGTTGTGCGATGGAGACTTCCACGACGATATGTTCGAAAGAATCGAGACATACCGCATTTGACCAAGAGTTGGAAATATTTCGAGCGGTCCACCGACATGCCGAAAGATGATACAGATGCACGAAATCTATGTATGACCTCAGAGAATTCAGATGCATTCAGAAAAAAATCTAGGGTCGAATGCACAAACTCCAGGAGCAACGATGGAAGAGTTTTTGTGGCTCACTGGACCCTCGAAAGCCTTTGTCTCCCGTATGGAGGACTCTTCGAGGTATTGACTCACATCCGCAACAGTGTCATCCCTTCACCGCTCTGGCGCTATGTCAATGTCGCTCACAGCGTGATGTTTCTGGTGAATTTTGAGGAAAGATCGCTGGCGACATCTTTATACCGATCGATCTATCGCCACAGGACTTTCCAGTTGCACGAGATCAGGAAATGGAGGTTGCATTCGCTATAAAAGAACTTCATGACGATGATGATGATGATGATGATATGTGGGGTTTAACGTCCCAAAACCACCATATGATTATGAGAGACGCCGTAGTGGAGGGCTCCGGAAATTTCGACCACCTGGGGTTCTTTAACGTGCACCCAAATCTGAGCACACGGGCCTACAACATTTCCGCCTTCATTGGAAATGCAGCCGCCCCAGCCGGGATATACGAACCCGCGACCTGCGGGTCAGCTGCCGGGTACCTTAGCCACTATACCACCGCGGCGGGGCATGGAAGAACTTCATGTGGAATTGAACACATGCAGACACTCATCCTCCCCAGGTCCGGATGGAGTGACCTATACTATACTGCCCTACGTCACCTAGGCCCGCAGGCCCAGCGCTGTCTCCTGGACATTTTCAATAAGTCTTGGCATGATGGAATGGTGCCTGATGAGTGGAAGTGCAGTCGACTGGTGCCTTTGTTGAAGCCCGGAAAGTCTCCATTGAATTTGGCATCATACCGGCCTATAGCACTAGCAAGCTGCGTGGGCAAGGTCAAGGAGAGAATGCTGCTTACATACATGGAATGGTACCTGGAAGGTTATGACATCTATCCTGGTGCTATGGCAGGCTTTCTAAGAGGTCGGCCCTCAATTGATAGCGTCATTGACTTAGTGACCTCTGTTCAGCAATAGAAAGCTAAGAAGCGGCTGTCGTTAGCTCTGTTCTTAGACGTGAAAGGTGCCTATGACAACGTGACCCATGAGGCTGTTCTCAATGCTCTTGAAGCAGCTGAACTTGGAGGTCGCGTCTTTCGAGGGGTAAGAAGCTACCTCACAAAGAGATCAACGTTCGTTCTAACTGAAGATGGGCCTACGAGTAAACATTTCACAAGTCGTGGGGTGCCACGAGGCAGCGTTTTGAGTCCCACTCTTTTCAACCTGGTTCTGGTGGGGCTCACCGAAACGCTACCACAGACGGCTTATATATCTCTCTACGCTGATGATATCTGCATTTGGGCATCCGGCGTGACACGGCCTCAAGTAAGCGCAAGGATACAGAAAGCGGCAATGATGACATCGGCATACCTTCGCCAGCAAGGTTTGAGCCACAGAAAAATGCGCAGCGGTGGCATTTACACGCAAACCGATGTCTTTTTACCTATTGTGCATCGATGGCAGAGCAATCGCATATAAGAGCAGTCATAGATTTTTAGGTGTCATCGTAGATCGTGACCTAACCTGGAGCCCGCATGTCGCATACCTGAAGAAAAAGCTCATTGGCATTGAGAATGTATTCAAGTTCGTCGCCGGAAAATCATGGGGCCCATCCGTGCACTCCATGTTGCAGCTTTATACAGCCCTCTTTCTCGGAATTTCTCCGGTACAGCCTTCCTGTCCTGTCCAACAAGTGCAAGACTAACATCCATGCACTTACAGAGCGTGCAAGCACAAGCACTTTGGACATGTCTTGGCTTTCCAAGATGCTCATCGACAGTGGCAACTATTGTCACCGCACAAGAACAGCCGGTCACAACGCATATCATTGTCGAGACGCTGAGAGCACACATTCGGCATTTATCACGGCTACCGTCACATCATTTAGCGTCTTTGACAGCACGGAGGCCCCATAATTCGTTCTGCGTTATTGTGACAAAACATCAGGACATATTACCGTCTGGCTTCAAACTTGCGACGCATCCAGCAGCTGCGTTATGGAGTATCCGTCAACCTGACGTGCGCTTATAAGTTCCTGGAATCATTAAGAAGGCACGCATGTCACCGCTAGCCCTGAAGAAATTGACTTTGCGACTGTTGGACGAAAGGTACTTCGACTGCATACATGTTTACACCGATGGCTCCACTAATTCCAACAGCTGTCCAGGAGCAGTGGTTGTTCCATCTGATAATGTGTTGCTTCGATACAAGTTCTCTCACACCACGACGTCGAAAGCAGCAGAGCTCGCAGCGCTTCAAGGTGCAGTAAAGTACATTCTTCGGCAGCAACCTAACCAATGGGCCATCTTTTGCGACTCGAGGTCAGCCTTACAGACACTACGGTTTGCTATGCAACATGGGTTACACGAACAATTCGTATATCACATAAGACACGACTACCACAAAGCGCTCAAGGAAGGTCACGATATTGCATTTCAGTGGTTGCCGAGTCATTGCGGAATTGTCGGCAATGATCGCGCGGATGAAGCTGCTCGATCGGCTCATGACCAAGACCTGCGTACGCCCATACCACTCTTGAGAACGGACGCTGCAAGATGACTACAATCACTTGCTCGCCGTATAACTCTCCTACAATGAAGTACAACGGGTTTCTCCAACACGCACCTGTATTCGATCGACCCAAACTTGCAACTTCGTTTGCCATATGGGCTCCCACTGATGCGCTGAAACATTACTGTGTCGCATGAGGTTGGGCGTGGAACTTACGAATGCGTACTCTCGTCTCCTTGGAATGGCGAGCACTTCGACATGCAACATCTGCGCCTGCGAGGAAACGCTCGAGCACATTCTATGTCATTGCCCAGCATACCAGTCTGAACGACTGCATTATGGAAGCCAAGCTCCGTCAGCTAGATTCACGGCCAATTACAGAACAGAAGATCCTGGGACCTTGGCCGACGGTCTCCCATACACGCAAAGCCACGAAAGCCCTTCTTGCACTTCTTAAGGACCACCAGACTTCACGACCGCTTGTGAAAGGAACAGTGTGACATCATGCCGTGTAGTCTCGAGCTGACTATTCATCCTTCTATTTCTTACTCCTCTTCTTTTCCATTTCCTTCCTTTCTATTATTCTCCCTTTCCCCCACTCCAAGTGTAGGGTAGCCAACCGAGCCAAGCTTGGTTAACCTTCCTGCCTTTCCTCTCTATTTATCTCTCTCTCTCTCTCTTCTCTCTCTCTTAGCCTTTTTAATGCAACATTACCTAGCTCGCCCTCTACATTGTGTACTTTTTTTTATTCAATTATTTTGACCTTTTTTACATTTTAACTGAAATTTCAAAAATAAAATGCATCAGAAACACGTATGCTACCCTAACTGGCTGTTTCAAAATTGGACTAAAAGCCACATGAACTGGAAGTCTGAATATCTTGTAAACTATACCGACCTTCCCCATTGTAAATATACCTACTTCAAGTTAACATGCATTATTGGAACCTCATCCAAGAGGAACCAAAGTTCTAATGTACTATGCTGCAAAAGTACAGTCAGACTTGAAAAGTGGCACACAATTATAAACATTAGATGATGTAACACATGAGATAACCTTCAAGGACTTACTTGACTTTGGCCTTGGCGATGTAGGAGACGTCTTGGAGCGTCGAAACCAGCTGCTGAAGTATCCACACTTTAATGACTCCAGCATCGTTGTTTTTCCCACACCACTGTGTCCAAGCACCTTGAGCTTTATTCGAGAGAGTGGCTGAGTTCCTGGTATCATTTGAGCTATGTACTCTTCTTTTAGTTGCTCCTGAAAGAAAAGGAGATGGTGAAAAAAGAGATTAATATCATACAAGCTACAGTAACTATACAAAAAAAAGCTTCACAGGTCTCTAGCAATGAAAGAAATTTTTCACACTTTTTGTACGTCCTAGTGGTTGGTCACTTTCGATTCCAGGATTTTATGCACTAAAAGCTTGATCTGACTGAAAGGCATGCCATACTGGGTGACTCCCGATTATTTTCACCACCTGAAGTTCTTTTAGATACACTTAAACCAATGCACACTTAGTGCTATTGCATTTGATCCCTATTTCAGGGTGGCTGCAGTGGCTGGTAGCCAAATCACAACTTCAAGCACCTAAGCCTTTTAGAAACTGTCTTGCCATTGCACCGTACCTATTAACATTTTTATAATTCCTTTACATATTATATTCAAAACTTCGTATTAAGTCTTGTTAATCATTTAGATAATAATAAGCACGTGTATAGAAACAAAATCTGTAATAGATTATATCGAAAAGTTTTAGACATCAGACATGACAGCCCTCATAGGCTTGTCGATCTGAGTGTCTTCTAGCCATAATGTAGAACCAGTAAAATTTGATATGTGAAAAACAAAAATTCTGGATTACTGCTTAAAAAAATGTGCTGAAAAGTTGTCGATTTAACTAATGCATATGCAAGGTATAAGCTCTGTTTTATAGCTATTTATAGTAATTAAACTTCAAATCAAACTGTGGAAGGCACCTAAGGAGGTCATGCTATTCGCTACCCTTTGATTGACATTTGACACCAATCAGGTCTTTGCAGGCTGACCCTTCATCTGCTTTCACAATCGCCAGACATGAAACTTAAACAATTACTCTCAACAGAATTTTTCAAAAGGAACACTAATTATCACTTACATTCCTCAGCCGATTCAGCAGGTCACCTATAGAACTGTGGCCTTGAGCAAGTGCAGTGATTTCTGCTGGTATTCCATCCTGTGAACACAAATTTACAACACACTGCTTTGAATGTCAGGAATAGAAGCTTATAGTATATGCAACAAATTATGTTTACATGTTCTATGCTATGTGGAGCTAAAGAATACAAAAAAGATTCATTATAAGATTATTTTCTTTTTTAATCTAAAGTATCATATTGCCCCTCTGAGTGTACGTTCAATCTTGTTGCTGATAATACACTATTATCTTTTTGCACAGTAGATGTCCCGACTGAATATGTGAAGTAGCTTTGTGATGGGATTGTGCTGTATGTGTGCCTAAATGAGCTCTTTTCCTTGTTTGCATGGTTTTAGGATGGCTCATTTATATACCAAATATGTAAAATGTATGGTGTACAAACAGAAGTTCATTGGACACGTGTTCTGCACTACACTTAATGTATTGATCAAGCCAACTTATGACACATACGTGGTCATGGTATCGTTTTGAATACTAGTGTGCATGCTTTGTGCTTCTGATCATTTTTGTAAAAATCCTGGCAGGCAAGGAAAACTGCAATGCAAACTGCTGATTGAATCGCATGGATGGTGGCATGCTGTTAGCACACTGTGAATATTTGCACATGAGCACCGAGTAAGGTTGAGTAGTACTTATGTGTGCATGATGAAAAAAACTACAAAACAGACGCTCAGAACATGCATGAAAGCAATTTGTGTATTTGACCATGTAGGTCTTTGATGTCCATAAAAGATATCTTAGTTTTTATCTTCAGTTGGTGAACTTACCCTATTCTTTTGATCAACATTGCAGCCAGCAAGGCACAGACAGCGCACTATCTCGATGTGGCCATTTTTTGCAGCAAGGTGCAGAGGATACAACCCAGCCTAGAAAAGAAATATGAATTTAGGTCAGTAAACGACATTTCTGCCAACATGCTCTCATTGTAAAACAGAGCAGAATCCAGAGTCAATATCACGAAATATAAATAGACTATTAATTAAATATTTTAGTAAAATAATTGCTAAATATCAACATGTGCTTGCACATGATAGCTTCTTTATACACAATGTGAGCAGTGAAACATGAGGCCAGAAGGTCTTTCCAAACTTTGTAACTATCTTTTTCTGACAATTTACTGAAAACAGTATAAGAAAGAACAGATGTTGGCAGTACCAGTGAATCAAGATTTTTGGGTGAAATAAATGTCCAATAATCACACCTGAAATTTTGTGAATGGTAAAGAGCGTGTGTATAGCTATATGCTACATAGATCCCAAACATTACTAGTAATATCGTACGTACCGGCGCACCAGATATGAGTTGCAACATATGGCCCACAGTCAAAGTGGTACAGACATTAGATGATATACCGACAGAGAAACAATCAGCAACATAAACACTGTATTCAACTACTGGTATATGCCAAATCAATATAACATTTCTCGTTGTTACATAACATTTCTCGTTACACTGTATGCTTGGGGGCCCATTCAACCATTGCCTCCGAGTTGAAATTTATATTGAGTGCCACTCTACATTACTGTGAAGCAACAGAACAGACATGTTCTAATCTTCAGCTTGGATGTACCTACTTTGTTTCACATGTTGAGGCTCTATAAAGTATAGAAGCCAGAGACAGAATTTGTTCTGAACAGTTAATGCACCCACCCAAGTGCAATAAACGACCACATGTAATAAAACTTGCACTGAACTGCAAATGATCATGCATGGCACCAAACTAGACACATCGTTTTCTGTTATGTTAATAGGTGAGAATCAGAAGGCAGGCATTAGAAGTTATCTGCCTACAAGAACCTTGTACAAGGAGGCACAATAATGCCCTCTGGAGGGAACAAATGACAAAGATGCACTACCAAGTACAACACACATCTGAAAGAGATAAAGTAGCTTGATTAAAATTGAGAAAGAACAATAAAACAATCATAATTTTCTCAATTTTTGTTATCGCCCCATAACACGTGCGAGTGCTGCCTTGTGCAAACCCCACTGATAAACTAAGAACCACTAAGATAAGCGAATACACGAACAATAGGAGCATTACAGATCGTTCTAGAACATACATGACTGCCAGCGATAATGCTGGAACATTCGACGGCACATATATTATTGCTGACACGCATCACCACTTGTCAGTTGATCGACGGGAGATGCTCAGTTGCCTAGTGTGCATTGCTGTAATCAGTGCCAGTGTGCATCGCTGTAATCTGACTTTCCATTCACCATTCACAAGTTCGGCCAAATAAACTGTTTCCTCTTGGACCTTCAGTATGCTCCCTTTGTCCACATCTTGACACCGTGACAATACGTACCTTGTTTGGCACGTCAACTTTACATCCAAAAGCACACAGTGTCTGGGCTACGGATAGAAGGCCATCACGAGCAGCCACATGGATTGCGGTCTCCCCATGCTGCAAGAGGACAAGTGATGAGCATGCATGTTACAGAACACGGGTAACAAACAAATGAAAAAAGCAGCCGCTAGGCCTTCACCAAAGTGCACAGCATGGTCACAGTGAAAGCTGGAAGAGCGGACTCTCTCCAGCCTTTTGTAAACTCTCTTGGGGCAACTACAGCAAGTAAACTTGCATGGTATCCACTTTGCTAAAAACCATCATAATTTTTGTGAAGTAAGAAAGCATCCACAATGCCATTATTTCTTATTCTGTGGAAAAGTAAGGTACTTGTTACACATATGTAAGGTATTTTGTGCACTTTGTTGATGTGGTGGCTGATGACAATGAACAATTATGAATGAACTCTGTAATTGGTTATGGCTTTAAACAACACAGTAGCTACATGATTTGCATTTTGCGACCTCAGTCATTATTTTACTCTCCTACCACACCATATTACATATGTCAATGTGATTACTTCGCAAGTGTGAAGTAACCACTATGCTATTTATGTGATAGGGAAGTGTCCACTTTGCCATTATTCATCACTTTTGGGAGATTGATTGATTGATTTGTGGGGTTTAATGTCCCATACCATTTGATTATGAGAGACGCTGTAGTGGAGGGCTCCAGAAATTCGGACCACCTGGTGATCTTTAACGTGCACCCTAATCTGAGTACACGGTTTTACAACATTTCCGGCTCCATCGGAAATGCAGCCCCCACAGCCAGGATTTGGTCGCACGACCTGCGGGTCAGCAGCCGAGTACCATAGCTACTAGACCACCGTGATGGGGCACTTTTGGGAGAAGCATGGTATCCGCGACACACATGTAAAGGAGTATGTGCACTTTATTGGTTATTATGTGCACTTTATTAAAGTATATGCACTTTATTGGCTGATGACGATGAAAAATTAGGGCTGATCCTTTTGTAATGAGTTTGAGGCATACTCAATGACCCGCTCATCATACAATTCATGTTGTGTGGCATGTGGTTGTTATTTTACTTGTATAAAATGCTCATTACACATGTGAACATGATTCCTTTCCTGAAATGAAACTTGCACATGGTCCTATTGCAAAGAAGTTTCAAGCTCCCGAATGGCTCCACGGTAGAATACTGGGCGGCTAAACAGTGCTTCTGGGTTCGAGCCTCATTTTATCCTGGATATTTTTACTTATCTAGATTTTTTTCCCTTATTTCGTGCAATAGCCGTTTTACAGACACTGATAGTAACAGACAACTACAGTGCTAAAAATGGCTGTTGTTGTCATCACGTCACAGCTTTGGCAATAAAAATCTCTATGACACTCCAAGCACATATCCTGTAAGAAATTGATAAAGAAGCGGCAAAGTACTAGTACACTGTTTGTCAACATAAAAGACAACACCAAACTAGCATTTATGTGTTTTTTTTCTCGCAAACTTGAAATAAGGTAACCTTGAATGAGTGATTTAAATTAATATGACTAACTCCATAGTTCGTATTACATCAGGCACAGCACTCTGAAAGCTATGCGAGAATGTAAGTCAGCAAAATGTGTTAGTCTGGGCATCTCGCGCTTGTATTTAATTGTTGTGAACCTGACCTCTGCAATCAGCTTCAGCTGCACGCCACTGCAAATCGCGGAGGCCACAATATGAAAATAAAAGGACACTAACTGATTGAGAACAACCTATTAAAATCGCAGAATGGCGTTTGCTTATTTCTAAGGCAGAAAGCATCTTTGTTGATTGCTCAATCTAAGAAAGTAAAAAAGATCCTTGTAGGAGGAGTAAAATCATTGAACTATTTCTCTATGCGAATGCATTACTGAAAGAAGTTTCACTAGCTTCTATGGCACTGAAACAGGCTATAAGGTCTACTTACATTGTCAACAACATCAGTTTGGCAGCCATTGTGAAGAAGGAGCAGAGCCACTGAGACATGGTGCCTCCTCAAAGCCAAGTGGAGGGCAGTGCAGCCATGCTGCAAAGAGGAAAGAGACAACGAGCACATCGTCATCAGTGAGCATCATCATTCCTGAACAGGCAGCACTGCCAGCATTGCTTTTGAACTTGGATTATTTATAAGTGCCATCAATTAGGACTTTTAAACATAGGCTAGTCGTTTGATTTAAATTTTCCACACTTACTGTTCATCTCCAGGTAATTAAGTCATGAAAATTGTAACCACCGCTTTGTATTTGCACAACAACAACAACAACAACAACAACAACAACAACAACAACAACAACAACAATAATAATAATAATAATAATAATAATAATAATAATAATAATAATAGTGAGCAGGAGAAGAAGAAGAATATTAATACTAATATCTAGGTTTTAAACAGCCCAAAACTATATCATTATGCGAGATGCTATAGTGTAGGGCTCCGAAAATTTTGACTATCTGGTGTTCTTTAATGTGCACTTTCATTGCACAGTGCAAAGGCCTCAAGCATTTTGCTTCCACCGAATGTGACCGCCGCAGCTGGAATCGAGCGCATAACATTCAGGTCAGCAGCAGGTCATTGTAGGCACTCATCCACCTTGGTTGTCTCAGACACCAATCAATACATACACTTGTTACTAGTGGATACTAGCGGGTTAGCAACCTAGTAACACCATCATGCCATAAGTATAAATACTCAAGGCACTTCACTTGCTGAAAGCAATTAAAGAGAGAATAGTACACTAAAGAAAACCTTCCCTGGAGCATTTGCTTCAATTCATGGAAAGCTGAGGGTCACAAAAAGACACCGATTAGTTTTCTGGTATTTAATATGCATCACAACAATAATCTGACAAGGCTGAAACTAATCTGAGGCCTCAACATACTTACCTGAGAGTAAGCAACGTTTTAGACAATATTGTCAGCTCACCCGAGAGTCAGCAATCCCTCAAACAATATTGTCAGCTGGGTGATGGATACTGGTGAATAATATAGGTGCTCATGCATTCGGAAGCATTGTCAAAGATAAGTTCATACTAATAATGAATATACAGAGCAGAAAAGCCGCGATGGTCATTAGTGTGTATACACACTATAATGCACGGTACGATAAAGGCTCTACTTTGGTGGGTGACACAAATACATCTGTCATGAATGTCGTTACAGCTTCTTTGGGGTGAAATAATACAGCTAGCACCTTACATTACAGCATCATACTGTTGTGTACATAATCAGCTGCACTGTTGGTCACTCGAACAAATATTGTAACTGTCCACTTTAAACAAATCTTTAATCCACATGACAGCCATGCCTCTGTGATGAGATGTAGCAGGTGAATAAATAATGTGCAGTGTGTGCATTTGTTTACACGGCAGCACCTGCATGCAGGATGCTCACAACATGAACACAGCTTGCCTTGCTGCATTTGGTAAAATTTGCATGCCATTAGTTCAACTTTTTTCCCTACAGTTAGTTTTGCTTTCTATACACCAACGAAGCTCATCCTTAAAACTCTCCTACCTTGCCTTAATGTCCTATCAATGAGTGACTGCCATCTGTGTAGTTATAGTGTTCACTATATCATCTCACAAAAACTAGCTTGCTATTGTGACTACTCATCGCTAGTTCACTCACGTATGTCCACATCATTTAGTTTATTAGATCAAGAAGTAATAATGCTAATAATAAGAAGAACTATGTCCCTAAATCACAATATGATCATGAGGAGCACCTGAAGTTCTCCGAACGTTTTTACTATCTGGTGTTCTTTAACGTGCACTTAAATCTAAGTACATGGGCCTCTAGTCTTTCGCCTCCATGGAAATGCAGCCACCGTAGCTGAGATTCGATCCTGCAGCTTTCGAGTCAGCAGTCGAGCATCACAACTCCTACGCCACTGTGGCAGGAAATCAGGAATTCAAATGGCCAGGAAAAGCTAAAGGATTATTTAGTGAAGCCTCATGGAGCTATAAAAAGGTGTTTAGAAGCTGATGTCCGGACAGCCCACTCTTATTAGTTAATATTTGTATGTTGCAAGCATGGTTGCAAAAACGTTCCTTGCGTGACACAACACCGCTGGCTCTCGCATCCCTCTAGCCTAACAAAAATTGTATTTATTAGGTGCACTTGCATCCTCTGTCATCATATTTCAGCCTCTAAAAAAGTCTACAGATGCCAAAATCTGGTCCTGCTTATGACCATTGACAACTTCAAATCGTGCTGACACAAACAAAGGTTTGCAATTGGTTTACAGCTTTACGGAAGACACTTGCACGTGTAATAATAGCACTGTGGCACTTGTTTACAATGCAGCATCTAAATGCGGTCACACGAAAGCATAAGGAAATTCGTGCCCCTTATATGGAAGATGACAGCTTAATAAATGTGGGGTTCTGTGTCCCAAAACCCGATATGTGAGAGACATCGTAGTGAAGGACTCTATAAATTTTGATCATCTCATGTTCTTTAACGTGCATTGAGATCGCACAGTACACAGGCCTCTTTCGTTTCGCCTTCATTGAAATGCGACTGCCGTGACCTAGACCTACCCCACCACGTTCACGTCAGCAGCCGAGTAGTCAAGCCACTGATCCACCGAGGCAGACGAAGATGACAGATTGAAAAAATAAAAAATTCTTCAGCTTGGAGTGCCGTTAGAGCCGTCAATAAGCAGACTTCTTTTTATCAAAATAAGCTGCCTTAAAAAAGACAAATATGTTTCTGAAGATGTTGCTTCCAGCGACACCATAAGACCACCTGTTAAATAAGTTTTCATTGATACTTGAGGTAAGTTAAAAGCACCAACCTTGTCTAAAAGGTCAGGGTCAGCACCAGCTTCAAGGAGGCAACGGACACTTTCGAGATGACCTCTTGCCGATGCTGTGTGGATTGGTGTTTCACCTTCCTGTTTCAAAAGAATGACAGTTGTTTTAAAGCTGAGATCTGCACGAAACACTAAAAAATGTGATTGATAAAAAAATGTGGTAATATTGCAAATATTAATTAATAACACAATTTAAAACAACTGGCACAATGTTCTAAACACACGGGCACTACTAAAATAGAACGTACCAACATGGCAGCACAAACCGTTTTAGACTTCTAACGAAATTGGCTCTTCCCACATCTGACCGTACCCCTGCTCGCCAATGTGAAGAGAAAATATGACAATAAGTTACAGTTAACAGTGCAGTGCACAGGCCCTGACAATAAGAGTGACCCGTACCGAGACACTAAAGTAAAATACTGAAGAGTCCCTGCAAAACATTTTCAGCATCATCAGAAATAGAAAAGGCTGCCAATCAGTAGTTGAGACTTTTTTGAACACATGGGCCAAGCTTTATGGCACAGCCAATGGCGTGGAATTTACAATGAACTCTCAAAGTCAGAAATAATTTTTTCTCTCGACAAATTATGCCGTAAACCCAAGTTACCACACTATGAACCCAAAGCCCACAGTCATTGACTGATTTGAGCATTATGAGGTGCATAGTTATCGATGCTGCTCCAGAATTCCACCGCCTGCCCATGAACACTCACTGGTCACACTGTAAGTAAAACACATGTTGTTCAAAGAAAAAAAAAGAAAAAAGGCCGACAAAGAGACACATCTTCTGCCTCCTTTTCAACTCCATCTCTACATAGCTTGCGGTGCACTCATTAGTACGAAGGAAGGGAGAAAGCACTCGAAGTGTACGACAAATTTTTATATAACTTCGCTCTACTTTGACAGATCCTAGAAATTTCGAGGCAGTCTATTTGTCAGGCAATAGGGTGTGTGAATGAAGTCATTCGACCATTACTTGGAAAAGTGCTGCAGAGACCCTTTAAGAAAGAGTGTGCCACAATCAAATAATACTCCTGAAATACTACAAAGATCTATCATACTGCGAGTGGTTTGCTAGAACAGTAAATGTTTTGGGAAACCAAGACAATAGACAAGCGGTAATGCATACCTGAAGTTCTTGCTACTATACCTGCTAAGGATTAATCAACTATTCATAACAAAACCCTAGTATAGTGAAGTTCCAAGTGACATATTACATTTCTTAGCATCTTCATAGGCATTACATGCTCATGTGGAAAGGAAAAAAAATCGCTAATTTTAGATTCATTTTGCTATACCTCGTACTGTCATATCGAGGTGGAACGATGTTAATAAACAAAGAGAACAGCATGTTATAAAAAGCCCAGAGATAAATTATGGCCCTTCTTTGGTTTCTGAATGTTCGCTTTCCACTCATAAAAATCTACGCAGGCTGCTTGATGATTATGACTGGTTTCTGGTTAAGCATATTAGCCATTGTCAAACATTCGAGAACTAAAGAAAGAAATAATGTGTGAAGGAACCTGGACAGGCTCACCTAACAACTCTCTATATTTTTTCAGCACAACTATCAAGATATAGCAAAATAGTAGTTTAACAATACGGTATGTAATGCTGGTATATATTGCATAAGACGTATGATTCTGGATATTGAAAAGAAAATGTGTGCCCATCGATTTCCCCGCCAGTGCTCAAACATTTTGCATTAAAGATATGCATATAAAGCATTGAAAGAGTATCTCACAACATTCACTCCCTACTGTAGCCCTTTGGCAAACCGTTTCAGAATTCTTCGTACGACAGAAATGTATACTGGCAGTGCCTTTTGTACAAGTTTTCAGCGACAGTTACAAGGGAAACACTTGGGTGCCGATGACACTGTTCACACCACATTAAACACCTTCCTTAAGGAGAAAATTCATGAGAAAGCTGTTCCGCATTATCAAAAACTTTTTGCATAGAACATTTTACAAGGCCCTCTACCTGATGTACATTCAGAAGATTTGTTCATTTTGCACAGAGAGGAGATCACATAGCGAAGGTATGCAAAAAACAAAGGAAGTAACAAACTGCGAAAATCAAAAGTAAAAGAAAAATTGCAGCCAGATATCGAACCTTGTTCCGGAGGTGTGTGTGGGCTCCCGCTTCGCATAGAACATGCATAATTGTTGGAAAGCCGTGCCATGCTGCGATATGCAACGCTGTGTCTCCATGCTGTGGTGAAACAAAAGGTTTAAAAAAATGAACGGTGTGCTGTGCATCAGAAAATAGTGCATGTATCCTGCAATTTATAATGCACACAAATATATTCGCTCGTATTTCTAAGTCCTTAGCTCAGCTGACAAATTTAAAAACATTTAAAAAATACCCAGAACCAGTCATTGACTGGTCTGGCACAAGCAGTCTCAAAGCCAGTCACAACCAGTTACAAAACCTATCAACAATGTTGCACACAAGTGGTCCCTAACAATATTAAAGTACACAGATACGTTAGCGAATCCTGCACTAAAATACTTTTCTTTAGGGCGAGAAAGCACTACATATGCTTAAGTAGTCAATTAAATTGCCCTCACACTGTCAACCGTTGTGCCAACCTCTTGCTTTCCTCAATTAATCAAGCCATCGCCCCAGAATGGTGTTGGTCCTACATTCGAACCTAAGAAATCCAAATAGACTTTCTCTGTAGCTTTGTACTACATTTGAACTAGTGGAATGGAAATTTTCTCTTTCATGATCTGTCTTAGCCTATATTTCCTATATCCCATATATATGGGTCAGTTTGCTGCTACATTTGAAGTACGTTATCATCTCCAAGAATAAAGGTAAAATTTTTTTCAACTAGTATTTCATGTAAAAAGAAGTTAACATCACACCTCAAAACATATGTTAAGGCTCCTAACTCTGTAGCTTATATTTGCTTCTCCATAGGATGACACAATCTTATAATCAACTCCTACCTCATCTTATAGAAACCTTCTTTATGTACCTAACACCATAGTACCCATGTGAAGGCTGGCAAATTCCAAAACGCATAAAAATCACTGAATGCATTGCATCGCCTTATGTAGATGATGAACAAATCCTAACAAGTGCTGAGGAATGCTTTGTTCTACATGACAGTCAAGCTCAACTGAGATTTTGTGGAGCATTATGTGTGGTCGAATTTCTGAAAAAAAAAAATTAAATGAGCTCTAGCAACTACAAGACTCTCTGCGAGTACACAGAGATGTACATTGTACAAAGCTTTACTCAATGAGTGGCGATATTAGTGACTTAAATTATGATAACAAGCTGCTCTTGCCAGAAAAAGGCGTATGATAAGGTGTCTTAAGAGCCACAGACATGTTCTATGTAATTCTTTCAATCTGTATTTATTATTTTATTCTGCTTAATATTGTAGGAGAGGACTAGAAAACTGCTGGTTTCACTTTTTTACTATCAAGAAAAGAATACTTGTTCTATGAGAATGGAAAGCTATAAATCAGTGGTCTTCTCAGAGAAATTTTGTGCCACACTTTGTGTGCTTAGATTCTAAAAGAGAGCTTACAATTATTTTCCACCACCCTTAACTTCCCCCACTCTTAAGGGGCACTTCTCCGGATCGTTAAAGTTCTTCGTACTGTACAGTACCCCGTACTTTTGTGACAGAACACCAAAAAGCAGACATAGGTTGGTCAAATTTTATTTTTACTAGTTTAATCTCTTGGAAAGAGGCATGAGTGAATATCTGTCTTCTTATAAGCAGGGTACCATGTTTGCATTTTCTGATCAAGCACTGATGTTATGCAACCACACTGGTGTCCACTATAGCCACTTGTTTATTATAAAGGGGCTCCATTGCATCTAAATATAAGACTTGGTCACTCTTATTGTGGATTTGCCTAATTTAATCTTTCATTTAATTCTGATTTCCTCCATTTGCTATTCATATGCTTCATTGCATTATTTTTATAAAAACAGTGCATGCAATGATGGCTGTTCATCAACATCCATATGACTGTTTCATACTTAGTGGACTATACACATGCCATTACCATCCCTTCACAACACTGCTAAAGTGAGCAGAGGAATTCACTACTTAGTACCTCATCAGTCACATTGATGTTGGCACCAAAGGAGCAAAGAAGTTTGACCGCTGGGTGGTGACCATAGCGGGCAGCGACATGCAGGGCAGTCTCGCCCGACTTGTTCTGGCAGTCCACCGAGACTCCGTTCTCCCACAGGTACTGGATAATGTCCGTGTGACCTTGCCGGGCTGCCCAGTACATGGCACTGTCCCCATGCTGTGAGAGTCAAGAAATAAATCAATCAGTTGAAACCCATACATCACTGTAGTAGTAACAAACCACTCAAAGATTCATAGGAAGATGGAGGTTTTGTGTGGTGAACAGACAAGCAATGCTGCTGTCCCGAATACTCTTGCTATTTTACTAAAGAAGAAGTTCTGTTTCTTCGCCATGCACTTACACTACGTCTAATTCATTCTCCCTTTCGAATGAAATCTCCCGTGGTTGTATGTGAGACACAAGTCAGAAATACACAGTGTTGATGTTTACACCTGCTAAAATTGAGCTAGTGCCACTATAACATGCCACAGTCCAAAAGAGCTAATCGCTACAAGTCTTGCTTTTAGGTTTGTGTGGCTATTCAAATGCTTGGAATATTCGACCGAATATCACAGTATTGGAATTCACTTTGATTTGAATTTAAATTATCAAAAATTTCGAAGTATTTGAAATGAATGAATCGATGTAAATTGATCTGCGTGTAACCTTGTAAAGATGGTTTCAGCGTTAAATCAATGCTAAACCGTGAAAACACCTAGTTACTAGAAATTCGCATTGTCATGAAGCCTTACTTTAAAAATAACTAATGAACATATCACACTCACATCGATTTATCATTTTTGAAGTTTAAAAGCTTGTTATTCTGGCTTACACGCTCTAATCACAGTAAATATTAAAACATAACATATTTTGCAGGTTATCACTTGCATTCTACCAAAGGTCAACTTCTGCTGCTATTTGAAGTTCTTTCCACTTTCTTTGAAACCAAGATATATGGTATTTTTACAAACCTTGTTTCAATTTTAAAATATGACATGGGTATGACAAATGGGCATGACAGATATGCCCATTTTTCTTAATAATGTGTGGTATATACTATTCAAGTTCTATTTGAAATTATTCGACCGAAATCATTCTTTGCTTCAATCCTAAAATTCACTATTTGCACAAGCCTACTTAATTTTTAAATAAAATGGTTGGTTACTCTTGAAAAATTGGGAGTGCAAAAAGGCATGAATAAAACACATTCAACAAAGGCCTGTGCAGTAAAATTTGTTATGTTTCTTTATATGTGTGTGTGTGTGCTTGTGTGTGTGTGCGTGCGTGTGTGTGCGTGCGTGTGTGTGTGTGTGTGTGCATGTGCTTGTGTGTGTGTGCATGTGTGTTTGTGAGTGTGTGTGTGTGTGTGCGCACGTGCGTGTGTGTACTTCTTTTTTGTGTACTTTCAATTTCTCAAGCAGTTAGACATACCCAAAATCAAACTCCTGCACAGATCAAGATCTTACAGCAGTAGTGAGATAATAGCTGCATACACATATTATTGATAACGATATGGATAAGCAATGCGCACATCAACAAGCCTGCCGTACGTCCCATCGTAAATACCACAACAAAATACGCAAGCCTTTCTCACCTAAGAAAGTAGAAACTTACGCTGTCTGAAAGCTTCAGGTTGGCACCTTTTGAGTGCAGCAGCTTGAGTATCTGCAATTGGGCCAGGCCTGCAGCGATGTGGACGGCTGTCTCCCCATGCTGCATGACGATTGAAGTGTGGCATGTATACTATTCACAAATGTAGCCAAACCAGTGTTCTTCACAGAAATTTTTTAGGGGTGTACATTAAAAGGAGTGGGGGATAGAAAGTTAAGGAATCTTGCACGGTACCCACTGTACCATCAATCATTTATTTTTTTGTGGAGGTGAAGCGTCCATAGGCGTATCAGCCGGGGGAGGGGGCTTAGCCTTTTCACTTTTGACAGTGGTCACTCTTGGCAGTACGCTGGGGAAACCAACAAGTAAGGTCTAGTTTTCCATCACAACAGTAATCACTCAATTATGTCCCTACGGGAGAGAGAATGAAATTGTTACGAGGCTATTTTACAACAAAGTGAAATTTTGACAACTTTGCCGCTTTGATGATTCTTTTGTAAGGTGGAGCATCGAACGCGTTATTCGGAGGTCGTAGGTTCGATTCCTGCTCATGGCAAGTTATTTTTTCACCCACTTTTTTTTCTTCTTATTTTGATTACATTGGTTCTAATAACTTCCCCTATATATATATATATATATATATATATATATATATATATATATATATATATATATATATATATATATATATATATATATATATATATATATATATATATATCGTTGGTACGCCACTGGAAGCAACCTCTGAGCCATTATTCGTCATGCAGAAAAGAGTGGTACGTGCTACACGCGTGCACAGAATTATGTGCACGTTGTTGATGCTGCAGTTGACGATGATGAAAAATGATGCCTGGGGATTCTGCAAGGAATTTGAGCATTCAATGACAAATTTGTAACACGGTTCGCATTGTGCGACGCCCAGTTGTTACTTGCTGTTCTAAAAACGCTTCAATACACACGCTAACGCAATTCCTTATGCGACATTAAGCAGTGCATAGGGTCAGTTTGCAATGAAGTTTGAAGCACTGGCATAGCTCATTGCTAGAGTACTTGGCTGCCAGACAGGTACCTAAGTTCGATTTGCAATTCATCCTTGGTGTTTTTATTCATTTCCTTTTTTTTTTATCACGCGATAGTGGTTTTACACCGTCGGTGCCAGAGACAGCTACGGCTGCCAGAATTGGGCCTTGCTGTAATCTCATAATAGCTTTCACGCTGAAAAATTGCTAGGTCTGCATGGAAAGTGCAGCATAGTCAAAGCGAAAGCTGGAAGAGCGCCACTTCTCGAATCCATTGTGGAACTACTGGGAGAAACTAATACAAGTACTCTTGCAAGGTACCCGCCCACCACCATGATTACGGTCGGAGCGACAGTGCCGGCGACATAAAATGATGCCTCCTCAATATTAAATTAGAGTTTGATATTAGAAATGACTAATCGCCAAAAAGCCCACGATCGATAGAGCACGGAATACTGAGCGCATAATTAATACGCATATGTCATTGGTGCTAGGGTGACCTACCGATGCTCCTTCGAAGACCACAGTGCACACTCTAGCGCCCAGTTTTAAATGAGAAGCATTTCTTAGCGAACTTTGGCAACATTGAGCTTATCCATCCATCCATCCATCCATCCATCCATCCATCCATCCATCCATCCATCCATCCATCCATCCATCCGTCCATACGTCCGTCCATACGTCCGTCCATACGTCCGTCCATACGTCCGTCCATACGTCCGTCCATCCATCCATACGTCCGTCCATACGTCCGTCCGTCCATCCATACGTCCGTCCGTCCGTCCGTCCGTCCACCTACGACTTTTAGCTCTTCTGGCCGTTTCGATAATGATATCGATAACAAACTTGGTATGGCATAGCATGACTGTATGAATAACATATTTGACTAGCCATAACATGAAAATCATGACATGGATTTCATGAATGTCATGATTTATATTTCATGGTCCTGCAGCTCTTGCGGTGGTTTCGTTCACATTGCATGATGAAAAACTGGTATGGTATGACATGATTGCATGGAAACACAAGTGACAGACACTAACATGAAAATCATGGCATGCGTGTCATGTAACAACCTGACTACATGCCAAGCTCATGATGCGCTCAGCGGCTGTTTCGCTAGCGTCACTTATACCAAATTTGGTATTACGGTATGTGAATGGATGACGAAGGCATGTGATTGGTGCAAACATGATAATAATAAGATGCGTGTCATGTATCAACAAGACTACATGCTGATGCGCTCGCGGCCTACATGATGCGCTCGCTGACCGTTTCGCTAGCTTCACATGTATAAACTCGGTATTACGCGACGCGAACGGACGACATAGGTAAATGACACAAACATGATAATCACGACATGCGCGTCATGTAACAACATGACTACATGCCACCCTCATGTTGTGCTCGCGGCCGTTTCGCTAGCTTCACACAAGCCAAATTTGGTATTATGTGACGTCAATGAATGCCGAAGGTATGTGCCTCGTGCAAACACAATCATGAGTTGTGTGTCATGTGAGGACATGACTACATGCCACAGTCAAGGCGCCAATACATTTCGACATGACCCGGTGCGCGTGCTCACCGGCATTCGTTTCGTCGCGTCACGCCGGCACTGCATATGCCAGGCGCAGGTCCTGCCATATACTCGCAGGCCATTGCTTTGACGCAAGCGCGTTTCAGCGTGTGCGTCGTCCCTCCGCCACGAAAAGGCAGACGCAGTGCTGTCTGGTAACGCATCAGCACGAAATGAAGCATGTCGCATTTCGCATCGGTTCCCGCCGGGCCGCGCCGACGGACGCTGGTCGCGCCGGTCGCGCCTGGCGTCAGACTAAAGAGTGATCGCGTTTTATAACGTAGCGTCACTGTGCCCAGCGTGCGCGCGCGTCAGCGCTACATTGGAGTATTTATAGGCCTTACATGATGCGCTTGCGGCCGTTTTGCTAGCTCCACATATACCCAAATTTGGTGTTAGGTGACGTCAATGGATGACGAAAGTATATGGCTGGTGCAAACATGGTAATCCTGACACGCCTGTCATGTAAGAACATGACAACATACCACGCTTGTAGCGTGCTCGCGGTCGTTTCGCTAGCTCCACATATACTAAATTTGGTATCTCGTGACGTGAGTGGATGACGAATTTAAACGACACATCCAGACATGATAATCATGACACGGAAGTCGTGTACGGCATCATTTACCTCCACCTAATAACGTTGTGCCGATTTTAAAATTACATATCAACCTTTCTCATTCGTGCTTCGCATATCATCGATTCCCACCGTACGTGGAATCTGCCATTGTCTTGCATACGTCTACGCTACCGAAATCTGAGCTATACAGAATCGATCTAAGACACCTATGCTGCGTCGCAACTTCCTTTCAGTGGTCATGCCAGCAGACAGAAACGCGAGCCCGACTCCTTTCCTCTCACTTAGAAAAAAACTTTTCAGTTGAACGCACAGTTTAATTCTATCTGCTCATTAAAGCAGCCCTACATGTTTTAGGATGATAATAAGATAAAAGATGATTGTACTTGCCTAAAGCAATTTTCTTTTCTTAGTGCATTGGTGATGTAATCAGCAATAAATTCCACCAAGACGTTTAAGCTCTGCCCCAAAACCAGTAACACAAAGACATGTGGCGCGCAGTATCACGCCAATAGTCGAGCAACAGAGGGTAGGATCATTTTAATCGTTTTTGGTGATGCTACTTAGTCGGTGAGCGGGACGGCTCAGTGCTCTCCCATAGTTGAGTACGAAGTACTCGAAATCGTTAAAAATGTTTTTCTAAACACAGTTGAGTGCGGGAAATTTCACTTATTCATGTCAACGGGATGGCTTCATGCTCTCCCATAGCAGAGTACCTAGTACTCTGAATAGTAAACCGTTTATTCTAAACAAAAGAAAAATGACGGCATATCCACGGAGTGAATGATGGATAGTGGGGCGAAGCATCCGTCCGTCCATGCATGCGTCTGTGTGGCCGCCCGTGCGTCCGTCCGTGCGTGCGTCTGTTCGTGCGTCCGCACGTTCATCTGTGCGTCCGTCCCTGCTTTCGTCGAAGCATCCGCTCCTGCGTCCGCCCATGCGTTCATCCGTCCTTGCAGCCATCCGTGCGTCCGTCCATGCATCTGTCTGTGCGTCCGTTCGTCCACCTATTCAACACTCGAAGTACCACCATCTCGCATCTTTTCATCATATATTCCCCATATAGAAGCACCGCCATTCAGCGGACATTCCACGGACTAAACGAGAGGAGGCACGCGCACGCTTTCTTACGGCTTGCGCTTTGTGTCTACTTCCCACCTTTAACCACCTCGAGTTCATGGTATATACTAGTTCACAGTATTCATGGCACTGCGGCCCAACACTCGCTAAACCTTTCTAAAACCTAGGAGGTTACGCCCAGCGAGTATAACGTAGCAACCCTTTCTTGTCTTTTGTGCGTTGTTGAACAATAAAAAGTTTGCAGCGTGCGCGTTAACTAAAAGCCGAATTCTCCCGTCTTCTCATTCCCCATTAGCAGCCATTGGCATGTACGTTGAGCACTTTTTTATTGTTCAACAACGCACAGAAGAAATCTCTCACCGGCACCACCTTGGAGGTCAAAATGTTATACTCGTTACACTACTACTACAACGGCTACGAGGGACGAACGGGTGCCGCTATAAAGAGCTTCGCCATGTTGAGTAGGCGGTCATTTGCTCCTCCACACAACAAGTTGTCTAGACATCAGGCCATCACATTTAGAATGCTCCAGACCAGGTGCCTATCCAAGCCTATTTTTTCCTCAGCATAGTCTCCTCAGGGGCTTTTGAATCTACTTGTCCTCATTGTGGTGAGGTTAGTGACTTAGCACATATGCTCTTGGCAGTGCCCCTCGTTACGGGACCCAAGTCGGCTCACAGAAGAAGACTGGGACTCTGCCTTACGAAGTTCAGAGTTGCTACCAACACTACGGGCTGTCCAGAGAGCCCACGATGCGGCGGTGAGGCTAGGCCTCCCCGTTCCTACGTGGGAGCGGCCCGCGACGTTGCTCTAAAGGAGCAGCGTTGCTCAGGACCAATTAAAGTAC